ATAGTTGCTTCCATGAAGTTTCCTCATGTTTTGTACTATGTATTTCCCCCTTTCCCTCTCCCTATATAATCAGGCCCTATGGCCATTGTAAACACAATCTCTGAATATTGAAAATCTTTTACTCTTTGAGTATTATTAAAATAGTGTGATGCTATTTTAGCCAAATTCCTAATTCTATATCTTAAGAGTGGTTATCTTAAGTGTGAGTTTTAGGTTCTAGATATTTAATTAAGTGTGTCATATCTTAATTAAATTCTAGATTCAAACCCCAAGTTAAGATAAGAGTGTGTAATATCTCTTAAACACCAACTTGGTTTATCCATCCCTGATTTTCTTCCATTTCATATCCCCCCATTTCTCCTCTTAATCTCACTCTTTTCTTCCAATTAAAATACCCAAAAGAACTCCCTCATCAACTCCATATATTCCCAGTCCATTCCCCCACAAAAACACCCTTCTTCCTGCTCAGAATTCTACCAAATAATCGATTATCATTCCCCACAATCGATTATCAATCCCATTGGAAACACCTGCAGGGATCAATAATCGATTATCCTTTCCAGATAATCGACTATCAGCTTCCCCAGAAATTCTGCAGCCTTCAGTAATCGATTGTCACTTTGTGTAAATCGATTATTTCCTGCTCCAGAACCCTGAACTCAAAGCTGAATCATTCCTTGAGTCCTCCTCAAAATAGCAACTCGTTTAGACCCCCGGTTCGGGTATAACAGTGTGTGAGTGTGTCCACTTCTTTTCTGTGTTCTTGTTATTATTTGGGATCTTAAGCACTTAAAATCCAAACTAATACTCTCTCTGTCCAAAAAAAATGTATAATTTGACTCTCACTGTGCTTAAGTGTTGAAAAATAAAAAAAATGTATTGAATTCTCGTGAGCCGCCATCATCATCGTCGTCGTCGTCATCATTATCATCATCATCATCAGGATGAAACATTTAAACATACAGTGAAAAGATTGCTAAGTGTGAGGTTCACTGAACCAAATTCTTAATCCGCTGAATCGAACAAGATAATGAACAAGCAAAGAGCAGTAAAGGAAAAACATCTTCAAATTAAATGGGTAAACTGAATGTGCGGACCTGAAAGGTGTGTGCCGGAAGCTGCCATCCATGTTTCCTCACCATAGCTTCCCAGAAAGAGGATTCGGCCGTTCCAGCCCCCTGTAGAGCCACTAAACCTCAACGAAGTCTCCTTGCTCTCATTACTTTGAAAGAGGAACCCGAAGATCCTAAACTCAGAGGCAAAACCGAAAATGCATAATAGTAACAGCAAATCGCTCAGAAGAAGTAACGATCGCTGTTCATTTCCCCCTCGTGACACTCCAATCTTTCCTACAGATTCAAACAAATTTGAAAATATTGAGCTTCCATTTCGGGAAGAAGAAGAAGAAAGAATTACCTACCACTAGAAACAGGGAATTTGCGCAGAGGACAAAATGATTAGTGAAAGAATAGTGAAGCTTGACCACGAGCTTGAATTATGGAGCTTTAATTGTTGGGGAAAGTTGAGGCTTGACTGGGAGAAGCCGAGCCGCCGGAAGAAAGAAGATAGGGTGTGGATTAGGTCACTGACTGACACGACATTAATTGAAGATTAACATTTATTTACCACAAAACTAACACATGCCATAATTCGTTCCACACCAATAGGTGGTCCAAAATCTACTAATTTGATTTTGGGACATCATTAACATTAGAACCCATATAATGAGATGACCTGGAATGACTACAATGTTTTGTTTGTAAAACTGATGATTTAGACCTTGCAATAAATTTCTCATTCTACTCTGATATGAACACACTTACCACCCCCTTCAATTACACCCCTAAGTTAATTTTAACTTTAGAGTCGATTTGAACTCCAAAGTTAACTTGGAGTGCAATTGAAGGAGATAGGGGTTTTCCGGGTCATCCAATATCATAAGAATCCCTTCGTTTGATTTTTATAGTCCATCATGTCTTTAACATTTGATTTATAATACAATAAAATTATATGGTATATTGATTATATAAAATAATATTTTAAAAATATTTTATCAACTAAATCTGATAAAATTATTTTTCTATCAAAATCTAATACCAATTTTGTTTAATTAGTAATTAAAATTTATCAATTTTAATTAAAAATAAAAACTGGATAAATATTCAAAAATGAAGTTAGTACATGATAAGTACTAGTTTTTACACTCCTTTTTTTATTTTGATGCAACAAAGACAATTCGTTTGACTAAACTCCACTTATTTTGAGGTGGCAATGAGTTTGATTAGACTTCCATGTGTGTCATTCATAACTAATTAAAGTGTTAATCAACAATTACAATTCATTTTTTCCCTAATAATTTTATTACAAAAATAAATTTTTAGGATATTTCATTATCTATAACTAAATACTCAATATAGATAATTGTAGTGAACCTTTGTTATATTTTGTTAAATATAGATTAACACATTTAGGGTCTCTTTGGTGGATGAAAGTCATGAAACATATATGGATTTCAATATTTAAGATATCAAGATTCTAAAAAAAGATATTTGTTAAAAAAAATAGATCTAGAAATGAAATCAGGAGATATTGGATATCTTCAAAATTGGAGGGACTTTATCAACCTTATATTATCGATTTCGAAACACAACACTTACATGACTGGGCCAATTTCAATTTCAAACTTCTTTTCTTTATCTTTTTTATTGCCCTCATTTTTTCAATTTATTTGTTGTAATCAATTTTCCAAATTTATATCACAATTATCTAAATGATCAAATCCAAGACTTTACTATCGGAGTATTCAATATCTTTTTAAAAAATGTTTAATCAAAAAACAAAATAAAAATTGATTTTAATAAAATAAATAAAGTGTTTTTATTAAAATAAGTTGTATCAAAATATAAAAATTAAATAAAAAATTAAAATTAAAATAACAAGAATTAAATCATTTTGATCAATATTTAAAATAAACTACGGAGTACATTTTAGCTTATGTAATAGATCTATAAAAAACACTATCCAACACTAACATTTGATTTCTTAATAGCTCATCAAACGGTTTTTATTGTTATAGAATTTTATTTCTGTTTTATCCTAAGACTTTGTCAAACATAGTTTATAAATATGATTTCTAACTAAAAATCTCTAATTTCTCTAGAATTGTTATTTTTATAAAGAAATTGGCTCATTTACATGTGATCACGAATATATATTACCATCGTCTCAGTATGTTGTACACTTTACTTTTTATAATCAAATCTAACAACTTTGACTATCACTTAAATAAAATTGAAATTGTATTACGGAGTACATATTAGTACAAAAAGATTCAATTAGATTCATATTGTAAAATTTTTTTAAAAAAGTGTTTTATATTATTAATATCCAATGTAATATTTATTTAATTCATGGCCAAAATTTATCAAAACTAACTGCAAAAAGTAAATAGGAAAACACACTCTGACGGGTTTTATACGTGCTTTATAATTAGTGCTCCATATAATAGAAAAAAAATCAAGGGTTTGTTTTGTTTTCGAGGAGGGGATGGTATGGGAGGGAATCAGAACTCATCTTCTTGTTTGATTTAAAAGCATGGAAGAGAAGGGACCCAAAATTTTAGCTTCAATTCTCCTCCCTCCCCTCCAAATCAATTATTCCGAATTGGACAGAATCTCTTTCCCTCTTGTCCTTCTCTTATTCTTCTGTCAATTTTTTTTGTCTTATCAATAACAAAATGATATAAAATAAAATAAAACAAAAAATATAGTTAAAATAAATAATAGTAGTAATATTTTAATAAATAACGCCAAAACAAATAAATACTCTGGAAAATAATTAGAAAATAAAATAAATCATTATAAAATAACAAAAAATATAATAATTAAATAAAAATATAAAATAATAAATGATAATAATAATAAAGGAGTAAATACAAAAATTAAAACTAAAACTAAAAGTATTAATATAATAAAATAAAAACCCATAAAAAAATAATAACATAACTAAAAACATTATAAAATAAAAAGAAAAAATTGATAATAATAACAATACATAATTATAATAATTAAATAAATCAATCAATTCAAAATGAAAAATCGTAGTAATAAACAATAAATAAAATAATATACATGCATACACACACACTCAGATATATGTATGTGTGTGTGTCTATATATAATCAAATTTAAAAATATAATTCAAATAAGAAAATAAAAAAATAAAAAAATAGGATAAATAATAAAAATAGTAATTAAAATTAAAGTTAAAAAAATAAAATGAAAGAATAGAAAAAAACATTGATAATAATATGTTTATAATAGACAACAAAATTAATTTAAAAATGACAAATATAAATAATATATTGAAAATAAAACATTCTCTTCCCCTCTCAATCAAACAAGGCAAAGGGGACCATTCTCTTACCTTCTCATTCCCCCCTCCCATCCATTCCTGCCCTACACTTCTAGGGTTATTATTTCACAACTTATACTCCAAAAAAGAGGTTATAGAAAAATACTGAGCCTTAAATATCTTTGAAACAAGTTTTTTAGCAGCTTAGTTTATTAAAAAACTAATAAAAATCATGTAACCTTTTTTTTGAATTAATGAAATGATTATGTAGATTACATTATTAAAATGGTGAAATATATTGGCATAATATATACTTAGACGAGTTAGATACACAATTAATGGTAATTGAATGTAATAATAATGAAAAATTTAAAAAACATATGCCAAAGTTTTAGACATCAAAATTTTATAATATTTTTGAAAACTAGTAAAATGAAATAAATCGTGGATAGATTTAATAATTTATATTTAATGTTGTTTCTAAATTGATAAAGTTTAAATAGCTTTTTAAAATACCTCCTTTGTGCCAATGTATTTAATTGGTCATTTATTTTCAACTAATTCGCTCCCCAAATCAATCAGTTGGCCGAAAGTGTTTGGAGCGTGCAATGTTTTGAGGTGCCTCGCGTGGACGCAAGCAGGGACTACTACAACACCCGTGAGATTGGCAGGAAATAAGTTCGGCGAACGCGCGACAGGGAAGCGATTGGGGCTCAGCGTTGACCGTAGGGGAGAGGCGGCCACGCGCGGCGGCGGGGGTCAGCAGCGAGTGGGGAACAGCAGCTGCCAGGAAGGAAGAACGACGGCAAACGAACCCTAATTAGCTAGCGGAAGAGGGGAATCCCAGTCCACTCGCTCCAGGCCCTCGCGTGGAGATTCCAGTTCTGCAGATCGAGTGAGCGAGAGAGTGGAGGTGCGTGAGATTGCGAAGAAGATTCATTACTGTACAACAAGCGGAATATATGCACGCATTCATATGCAGGTATCGCCATAGCTTCTCCTTCTTCTCCCTCAAATTGCTCTGTAGAGCCCAGTCTGGTTCTTTGCTCATTACTGAAAAATGTGATAAATTACTCTGCTTTCATCGAATTCGAAGGGATCGTGTGGGAGATGGGCTTGTGGTTTTGTATCCAGCTTCTCAATCTGAGCTTCCATGTCTGGACTGTTCTTGTGTTTATGATTAGATAAAATTAACTTTATGCACTTATGCAAACTGATGACAATGTTTTCCATGATTAGAAACAGCAAACTGTATCTTCAAGTCAGTATAAATAAAGCAATGTTACTTAATATGGCAGTGTATAATAGAGTGGCAATGCATCGGCGAGAGGGTTACATAATAAGGGACTGCTCTCATCCAGATATTATTGTCAGTTTCAGGGACACTCTGGAGCGCTGTTTTAAGACATGAGACTTCTTGGTTCCACTCTTCAACCCCAATCTATGTGACTACACCTTGTTGGCAACAATTTGATTTTTGTTGAAGAAAATTCAGAAACTTCAGATTTAGTTCCATTATCATCATCATTTACCAGCAATTTAATCCCACTCGTTGGGGAGAGGGGTATTAAATGTAGTATCAATAAATTGTAGTATAAAATTAAGTAACACTATAAACAAATGCAAAAACACATAGTGATGTTTTATGCCGGATGCTCTTCCTATCACAACCTTCTTAAGAAGCAACCTTCATAAGAAGGAATGATGATGTGGCGATTCTAAAGCCGTCTTCATCATAGGTTACCTCCACATGCATGGGAAATATCATGAGACGATACTAAGCTGAAATACTTTTCAGATTTAGTACCATATGTGCCTTTTAGTTTGGGGTCATTGTAGTTGCTCTGATAACACTTTTTTTGTTTGTGCTTGTTTTCATTGTAGGTATTTGTAATATTATTATGCACCTAAAAGCCAGCCAGTAGAGGGTTGTCAATATGGACATAGATCTTAGATTACAGTCTGGAGATCACGATAGAGAAGAAGAAACAAATGGTATTGTTAACTTGCGTGATCATGAAGAGAGACTCAATGTTGTTGGTGTGGGTGGGGATATGGTCATTGAGGAAAAGATACATATTGAAGATGGAGGAGGTATGAACTCTTCCTTAGCCGATATGACAGAGTTTAAAGAGGATGTGAATCTTGAGCCACTTGCTGGTATGGAATTTGAATCACATGGGGAGGCATATGCTTACTATCAAGAATATGCCAGGTCAATGGGGTTTAACACTGCAATACAAAATAGTCGCCGTTCAAAGACATCAAGAGAATTTATTGATGCTAAATTTGCATGCTCTAGATATGGTACTAAACGTGAATACGAGAAGCCTGTGAACCGCTCACGCAGTAGACAGGGAGGCAAGCAGGACCAAGAAAATGCAACCGGCCGGCGGGCATGTGCAAAGACAGACTGCAAAGCGAGCATGCACGTTAAGCGAAGACCTGATGGGAAATGGATTATTCACAGGTTTGAAAAAGATCATAACCATGAACTCTTACCTGCCCAAGCCGTCAGTGAGCAGACTAGGAGGATGTATGCTGCAATGGCTAGGCAATTTGCGGAATACAAAAATGTTGTCGGTCTAAAACACGATTCCAGAAGTCAGTCTGATAAAGTTCAGAATTTGGCTATGGAAGCAGGCGATGCTAATATTTTGCTTGAATTTTTTATCCATATGCAGAGTATGAATTCAAACTTCTTTTATGCTGTAGATGTAAATGAAGATCTACGTTTAAGGAATTTTTTCTGGGCTGATGCCAAAAGCAGACAGGATTATGTGAATTTCAGTGATGTTGTGTCTTTTGACACTACCTATCTTAGAAACAAGTACAAAATGCCGCTAGTACTCTTTCTCGGGGTGAACCAGCACTATCAGTTCATGTTACTTGGATGTGCTTTGCTTTCTGATGAAAGCTCAGCCACAATTTATTGGGTGATGCAGACATGGTTGAGGGCGATGGGTAATCAAGCTCCCAAAATCATAATCAGTGATCAAGAAAAGGTCATGAAGACAGTTATTTCAGAAATCTTTCCATCAACCCTCCATTTCTTTTGTCAGTGGCAAGTGATTGGGAAGGTGGCAGAAAATCTAAGTCATGTCATTAAGAACAACGAGGAGTTCATGACAGAGTTTGAAGATTGCATTTACAGGTCATGGACAGATGATGAATTTCAAAAGAGCTGGCAAAACCTCGTTCAAAATTTTGAACTTGAAGAAAATGAATTGATACAGTCACTGTATGAAGACCGGATGAAATGGGTGCCCACATTCATAAGGAATGCAATTTTAGCCGGCATGTCTACAAGTACACGATCAGAGAGTGTGAACTCTTTCTTTGATAAATATGTGCATAAGAAGACATCAATCCAGGAGTTTGTGAAACAGTATGAAGCCATCTTACAAGATAGGTATGAAGAGGAAGCAAAGGCAGATTCTGATACGTGGAACAAACCGCCCACTTTGAAGTCTCCATCACCATTTGAGAAGAACGTGGCAGGGGTGTACACAAATTCCGTGTTTAAGAAGTTTCAAATTGAGGTTGTGGGGTCCGTTGCCTGTATTCTGAAAGAACAGAAGCGATACGAGAAGATTGTGACTTTTAAAATCCAAGATTCTGAAAAGAAGCAAGAATTCATGGTGATCTTGAATGAAATGAAGTCAGAAGTGTCTTGTATGTGCCGTTTGTTTGAGTATAAAGGTTTCCTTTGCAGACATTGCCTGGTTGTTCTTCAACTCGGTGGCATTGCTAGCGTCCCTCAACAGTATATCTTGAAACGGTGGAGAAAAGATGCCAAGTCACGATACCCTATGATAGATGGAGCTGAAGGTGTGCAGTCTAGGGTTCAAAGATACAATTTTTTATCGCAACAAGCATTGAGATTGGCTGAAGAAGGATCTTCATCTCAAGAAAGTTTCACATTTGCTCTTCGTGCACTTGAAGAAACTTTAGGGAATTGTTCGAATGTTAATAGCTCAAATAAGAATCTTGTTGATACTGGCACTTCATCTACTCCGGGAGGTTTTCTATGCATAGAAGAAGATAACCAAAGTAGAAGCATGAGTAAGATGAATAAGAAGAAAAATAATCCCACTAAGAAAAGAAAGGTATAGTTTGAATGTTCTATACAGGTTTAGTGACATTATATGTCTTCTAAGGTGTCATCTGTATTAAAATCCTCTTCTATTCACAGGCCAACTCTGAACCAGATGTTATGACTGTTGGAGCACCAGACAGTTTGCAACAGATGGTTTGTTTTTATTCGATTCTTATATTTGAATCTTTAAACCATTTTCATAAAACTAGAACTCACTCCGTCTAATAAAAAACCTTATTTTGCAATGTATTTTTGTGTCCAAGAAAGAGTCTCATCAAGAAAGTTTTCGGAAGAAGTACGTAGTATTTTATTTAGCTACTTAGAAATATAAGTAGGATGGATGATCTACAAGAGTTTTACATTACCAAAATAAAAAATCTGTACTTTGTTGAAGCAAGACCTATTTGGTTGTTTTCTTTTTGTTTTTACGTATATAAAACTCACTTTGCTTATGCAGGACAAGTTAAACTCTAGACCAGTAACTCTGGACAGTTATTTTGGCCCACAACATGGTGTACAAGGCATGGTATGATCTGCTATAATTTGGTCACACTTATACATAATCTTGTACCAAAGTTGCAATTGATCTTTTTCTAGGTACAGTTGAACTTGATGGCACCAACTCGTGACAACTACTATGGGAACCAGCCTCCCATGCAAGGGCTAGTATGTCATTTGCTAAATCATGGTCTAGTCTGATCTCTCGTATGAAAAGCATTGGAGGTCACTAATACCAAAACAAAGACACATCCCTGTCAACTTGAGATAACGTGGATGTGTACTATCGATAATACCCTGAGTTGGATGTAATGTACCCGACCATATATTTCAAAAATCACGGACAGACATCAATAAGAAAAGTCAGTCCAATGTGTATTTAAAGCCTAATTCAATGTTGACATTAAGGTTATATTCAAAACAATACGGCTGCAGGGCCAAATGGACTTCTTCCGAACCCCAAGTTACCCGTATTGCATTCGGGTCAGTTCCTTAGATTCCTAGCACTCTTAACTGTTAAGAAGAGCAGGTTCATCTTCATTCTATTATTCCTATCTCAAGCATGTTATTTTTGTGCACTTCATGTGATTAAGCACTGAATGTAGGCTTGGTATCTGATTCAGTTCCTCGACTATATATATTGATCCAGTTCCTCCGCTATATATTAAATTTGGTCTTTAACAATGCATTTTGGATCGAATGTAGTGCCTAGGCTTATTTGGATCTAATTGAGAACGGTATTTTCATCCATTGAAGTGTCCCCCACTTGTCTTCTTCGTTCCCATGTAGTTTTTTTTGTAGAATTTGATTAGCTTTTCAAGGCCAGAATTACTTGAACTTACAAAATTACCCTTCTTAGTTAGAAAAACAGCAGATCGTTGACCTTTTGCGCTGTTTGTGTATTTCTTTGTAATGTTGGTTTTTTCTTGGGACTGGCAGGAAGAACCAAACATAAGATCTGCACAGTTGCACGATGAAGGGTCAAGACATGGCTGATGACAAATTTAATTGCAATGTGTAGGTAAACGTTTGAGCATTTCTTTTCTCTCTATAGCACTCTTGAAATCCTGACTCGTAAATCCCCAGATGACAGTAGTTTCACTTGCAGGCTGGTGTTGATCTTGATCTGGAAATATATTTAAGAATACAGTAGGATTTGTGCTTTGTGACTAAGGGGTTCCTCTTTTTAAAGCATGCCTGGATCTTGTGAAATAGAGGGCAGAAATGTAGAAGAAAAATAATATAATCCTGTAAAGTCTGTTGCATTTGTTGTGATCATTCTCAAAGATAAAATCAAGCAAGGGAAGGTACCTGCAATTATAAAAAAGAAGAAGTAAGAGCTACAATATAATATAATGGTATTATTTTTCCATTTCTCTATATTATGCATGATATTTTGTACCTTAGGTATCAAAATAGGCACCCCAACCCCACCACAGCAAGGAGGTAAACAAGGATTATGGGTGCATTTAGTTAGTTGTAGGTTGTATGACTTGTATCCACATTTCTAGTTTTGTATGAATTAGGATCAGGATATACAATTATTATTATTTGTACAAAGGTTGTACAAAGTAATGTTGCATCTTGTATGAATGTGAATTATATCTTTTGTTTTACTATCATTCTTGCAATTTACTTTAGAGCTTGATTTCACCAAACTTTAAAAAAGTGTTAAAACATGAGTAGGCAATTATTGTAAAAAATAAGTCTTTAAATATATAAACATGTGTGTGTATCTTAAGTGTATACAATCTTATACTCAATTCTCCTTTTTAAATTTTAAACAAGTACTTTCATTAGAAAATAATTGTATCACTTGAAATTTTATATTTGTCTATAGAATTCGAACGATCATTATCATAGTTTATATTCAACGAGTCGAAAACTTTCCTACAAAATTATGTTCCGTTTACCAAGGAATAATAAAAGGCGGACAATTTAGAGATTGTAAATAGTTTTAAAAATGAAAAATATAATATTACAAATTTTGGAATGAAGATATCTACTCATTATATTTATTCAAATCTTTTTATAATATTATTTGTTATGAAATATTAATACTCCTTTTGTTTTAATAAATCATTCCTATTTTGACTTTTAGCCGAATTAGATTGAATCATATTAGATCAGGAAAAAAATAATAAAAATAATATTAATTTTTTCAAGGATTAAATAATAATTACTATTCGATCGAATCACATTGCTTTATTTAAAGCTACACACTAAATATTAATTAATATTATAACTTTAAATATGTTTATTATAATTATTATTATTACTCTTTGTTATTATACGACAGATGAAGTATTATTATTATTACTATTATTATTATTATATCAACAAAAAACCATTATTACTAGTAATTGTTTAGCTTGTAGGAATGATTCATAAAAACAATATTAGGACTTAAAAAGTTATATTTTTCATATTAAAAAATAGTTGTTTTAAAATACTTGTGTATAGGAAAACATTTGGTTATAAAAGAATTATACAAAACTTAATTTTTAAAAGCATAAATACTTTCTTATTTTACTTTTTTCTATGTATATATGATGAACTGTAATACTTAAAATTATTAAATTTCTTGTAACAATTATAAGTTTAATTTAAATCGAATTTAAATTCAATCACACCAGATGAGATCTAATCAGATTATATCAGATCCAATCATATTAAACCTAGTTAGTCAAAAAATCAGATCAGACTTAATCATATCAGACCTACGGAACTGAGCCTTACTCATTTAAAAATGGAGTATGTTTTACACCTTTTCACAATAAATTTTAATAAAAAACAGTCAAAATTTAACTAAGACATCCATACCTGAATATTTGTCCAAATTAAGTTTTTTGAAATCAATTACTTTCAACGTTTGACTTATAATTGAATAAAAAATTATAGGTATGCTCCATCCGTTCCATTATATTCGTCGAGTTTGACTAATTCGAGTCGAGCTTGATGAACTTTAATCATCAATTACTTCTAATTTATATTGCATATTAATAAAATGAAACTAAATTTTGAAAGATTTTAACGAGATAAATCTAATGAAATTATTTTTATACTAATAAGTAATTTACATTAAAGTATATGTGTAATTGAGGTCCAAAATTTGTGAGGTTTAACTTGAAAAAGTCAAACTTTATGACAGAGATAATATTAATTACATCAAATACTATTTTTAAAATATTTTAAAAAATAAATCAAATAAAATTAATTTTGTATCAATACCAAATATAAATTTTATTTAATTAGCGGTCATTTTTTTTAAATTTTGACTGAAAAAGTTAAAACTAAATAAACGTTAGTATATCAATAAAAGAAATCTCCATGTATAGGACTAAAAAAGTATATATGGAAATGCCAAAATAAGAATCTCAAGTCTTTTAAGACCAAAGTATAGTAGGAGTACAATGATAGTGTGGTGTAAGAGTACGCATTGTCAATGTAATGAAAAACTGATAATAGTGTAATATTTAAGTGTGATCAGTCAACCATCTATGATCCACGGGGGGGCTCTGATGGGCGGGGATGACATATGACTGCGTAAGAGTTATAATGTGACAATGTGGTCAGTATGACAGTGTAACAATGACAACTATTATTTTAGTCTTAAAAGTTTTATGACTTATGTTTTAGTATTTTCATAGTTTTTTAACTCATATTGAAGTAGTTCTCCATATGAATTATGAACTATAACAAAATGGTTGTAGATATAGGCACCTAACAATTATGGAATGATGGTGTAAATTCCACCAGGTACCAAAAGTAGGTAATTGGGTCGGGTTAGGGAGACTTAACCGGGTAAATAAAGATAAGCGCAAGGGTAACAAGCACAACAAAGAATCACTTAAACCGGGTTAAATCTCTCGAGTCTGAATATATATCCTATTCTTTCTCTAGAGTGTATTGGGTATTGTGGAGGCTCAATAGGTGCATGGAATCTGCTCACTTAAAGACAAACAACCATACAACATCCATCAACATACAATCAGAACATATTGATTGAATATAAATCTAGGATGGTGCCAAATGACTTTCTCACATTGATCTTTTGAGTGATGGGAGTGGGTCCCTTCGTTGATCTCCTAGATATTAGGGTTTAGGGGCGGCAGATCCTTCCGGCCGTGACCTCCAAGCTGCACCCCAAAAGTGATACCGGTCAAATTATATGGAGCCCGAAACTTCATTCCTCAAAATTTACATGAAGTCCAAGATAGTGACCGGTCACCCAACTCGGGGGGTGACCGGTTATCCAGCACCTTCTTTAAAATAGCTTCCAAAGTTCACCTTTAAAGACTGAAACCGTGACCGTCACCTAACTCCGGGGGTGTCTGATGATCACCCAATTCAACATCGTCCCCAAAATAGTTTCTAATGTCCATCTTTGAAGACCAAAATCGTGGCCGGTCACCCAACGCCGTCCCCAAATAGCCACCTAGCTGAGTCTGGAAAACCAAACCTGTAACTGGATACCCGACCCCACGGTTGAGTAGTCACCTCGGTACTGACGGGTACACCTGGGTATGTAATATACCCATCCCGGAGTATATATGACAAATAAAGAAATTTATCTACTCCATATTAACTACCCATCCGTCCTAAAATTTTCATCCTGTTTTGGTATATATGGAGTTTGACCGACTTTATTTTAAATACAATTTATTTGATTGTAATTGTAAAATTAAAAAAATAAAATTATATATTTAAAAAACTACATTTAAAATTCTAAAAAACAAAAAGTAACAAGATCATATTATTTTATAAAATAACTAACGAAAAATGGGTAAATTAAGTAATTAATGTTTGACCAGCATTAATAATCAATTAATTGGCGACTCTATCATTCGGGGTTGCAAATTCAACGGTACGTACGTTCAACAATCAACACCATCATCATGTCGACATAACCATGGAGTTGACTTCTCTTTCCTATTCCCATTCGGATTTTCTTTAGTTATCAAACGGCGAATCAAACCATCATCATGTCGACATCATCATGATTCTTAATTAACTATAATTTTCCCAAACTAATCTCCACCTTTATATACTCCCTCCCCTCCCTCTCTCTCTCTCTAGATCGATCTCACATCCTTAATCTCCGCCGCCATCTCGGCCCCACACTCCCCTACACTATGAAGTCCCAAAAAAGTTTGAGCGGCCAAACCCAAAAGGTGATTTTTGTATGTTTGTTGTTTATTGCGGTTATTCCCAGCTTTGTTTTGGGAGATTCCACCTGCGGCGGCGGCGACGACTCCGGCGAGGATGCCGCCGGCCACGACAAGAAGCAGGCGCTCAAGTACAAACTCGCCGCCGTAGCTTCCATCCTGGTGGCCGGCGGCCTCGGCGTTTCCCTCCCGGTGGCCGGGAGGAGGGTCCGGTGCATGAGCCCGGACGCGAGCCTCTTCTTCGTGGTGAAGGCGTTTGCGGCGGGGGTGATTTTGGCCACCGGATTCGTCCACGTCCTCCCGGACGCCTTTGAGAACTTGACTTCCCCGTGCCTCGGGGAGAGACCCTGGGGTCAGTTCCCGTTCGGCGGGTTCATCGCCATGCTGGCGGCCATGGGGACTCTCATGGTGGATTGCTTCGCCACGTCTTATTTCGCCAAGAGATGCTCCGGCGACGGGAAGGTGGTCGCCGGCGAGGAAGCCGTGACGGTCCACGTCCACACGCACGCCACTCACGGCCATGCACATGGCGGCCAACATGTCGTCTCAGATGTGGAGTCTTCCTCTTCCAATAATCTTCTTCGACACCGTGTCGTATCTCAGGTATTTTTTTCCACTCTCTGGTTCATGTGACATTGTCCGACACTTGATGATCCGTTCCTAAAATTCGTAAAACAATTCTTACTCATTAACTTTCCAAATTTATTTGGTTCTGGAGTCAAAATTTTAACGTCAAAATTAAATAAATTTGGAGCGTGAAATTGAAGAGAATGGAACGGGTTTGGGTCAGGGCGTGATAGGGATTTGTAGAAGAATAAGTTAAATTTATCAATTTATGTGTTGAAACTAAAAAGATTCCAAAAAAGAGTTTTTTTGCCTTATTTTTGTGTTTGAAAGAGTTCAATTTGACTTAAATTTCATGGGTCATACTTATTTAACATTTTTGTGACTTCGAAAAAAATTACTATCATGAAAAAGGAATCTTTTTAGTTTGAATAAACTGATTTACAGAGTAAAGAGGAGTCCTTTTCTAATGTGAAAAAGAGTCCAATTTTATGCAAGTATTCTATGCATCACATTTAGGTTCTCTTTGACACATAGAATTCAAGCTATGAAATTAGAATAAGAGTTTTTAATTATGTTGTTTGGTAATACCAAATATGTAGATTTGAAATTGATAGTGTAAAAATGAATAAGAATTCGAAAATTCAATTTAATCCAATTCAATTCCATAGAATTTTAATTTCAATTCCGTCAATTACATATACTAAACAGACCTTTAATGTTTGTTTTTGTGAGACCTAATAATAATTTAATCCAATTCAAGCACCTCCAATCCCTTGCTAGACCTAAAAATTAACTTAAAGAAAACCCCCTAAATAAGAGTAAAACATGGAACATATCCTCAATATAGGAGTTCAAACTTTAACTCCTCTAAATAGGAGTAATTAATTAAATATATGTTTGAATCAACCGACAAAATTAAGATTGTTCAATTTGAATGAATAGATCTGAATAATGAAAGCAGGAAAACCGAAGCTGAATCCGAAGAATGACAAAACACCTGCAAGAGGTTCTCAGCTCATCATCTTCTACTGCTATGCATTTCTACAACAGCCCATCGAGTCTTTATTTTATTAAGAAGGAACATTTAGCAATGGATTATCAATGGCCACCGCCGTATATATACGAAATGATGCCGTAAATTAGTTTTTTTTGCTATAGTAAAAAAGGTAAAGAGAATTGAAGCATCAATGAAGATTAATTGGTCTACTAGTAAAACTTCCGTTGCATGTTTTTAGTGAGCTTTAGAAAACTATTACATTTCAAGTATCTACTACACAGTGACATTGGATTTGGTTTGGCAATATGTAATTGTGTAACATTGTGACATTATATATGAGCATATGCGGCATTATATATGGGCATCTATGGTATTATATATTGTCATATGTGACATTACATGGTGCCATGTTTGACATTATTATGTCGTTCTTTGACACTGTATTGACTGTTAATGTGGCACTGTGGCGACGATGGTGCAGATTGTGATGGTAGTGTTGTTGATAATGTTATAGAGCGGTGATGTCGTCACTGGTGACGATGAAAAATCAAAGGCGCCAATGGTAGGTTTCGTTTGTAGCGGTGCGACGGAGCACAGGACGGCGGTGGTGGAGATTCAAGTGATAGTGGGATGTATGTGGCAGTGACGGTGGCAGTGGTGGGCATCACCGTCGACGATGCTTGCGGCGGTGGGCGTTGTTGTCTGTAGCATGCTGTTGTAAAATTGGTCGAATTTTTTTAGTTTTGAACTTGGCCACCACTGGTATTAGTCGCAATGCAGCGTGTGTGGGGAGCATTTTTTATTTTATTAATTAAGTTAAAATCTTTATTTTAAATTTTTATAAAAAATAAAAAAATGATAAACTCAAAAACATAAGTGCAAATAATCTAAAATGATCTGATCGTGCTCTTTACTTAATATAGTAGCATGCATCTTTAAAAAAAATGTGCAGGTGGGGAGCATTTTTTTGTTTTATTAATTAAGTTAATTACTGCTATTTAGAGGGGTTTAAGTTTGAACTCCTATTTTGAGGATATGACATATGTTTTACTCCTAGTTTGTTCCTTTTCCCATTAACTTACTCCTTTTGAATGAATTTGTAGTTGACTTCCAAGTTTGTTCAAAATCTTCAATTTTTACACCAAGTAATTGAAATTGATTGATATAATTTTTGTTTTTGTGCAAGTGCAGGTTTTAGAGGTGGGAATAGTAGTTCACTCAGTGATAATTGGAGTAGCATTGGGTGCATCTCAAAGTCCTAAAACCATAAGACCTTTGGTGGCTGCATTGACTTTTCACCAGTTCTTTGAGGGTATGGGACTTGGTGGCTGCATTGCCCAGGTATGCAAATCTTTATTACTCCCTATTTAATACTCCCTCTCTTTTAAATATTCATTCATGATAAAAGTCCTGTGGACTAATCATAGCGTGAGAAGACACACGCTGGTTCGTGCGCATTTGCGCGATTTCAAATTAGACGATTACATACATCGAAAGAGAGGTATTAACAAATTTGCACATATTTGTGTAATTTTACTAATTTAACTATCATGCATGAAAAGAAACTTGTTTTTAAACGACTCTTAGCTTGGTACTTAAACAAAAACAAGACTTTTTTCCTCTATTATTTCGATTTAAAAAAATTGTGCAAATAATTTTCAAAAAAAAAAATCAATAAAAGCAGCTCGGTGTAGTAAACCCTTGGAGTACCTATTTTGATTTTGATTGGACAGCCCTTTATAGTTTTATACAGCCAGGAACAGGGTTTGACTTTGAAATAAGTTAGTGGTGTTTCTTTTTTTTATAATCCAGTCAAAACTGTTTATAAGTACTTGTGAACTTATAAGGTTCATGTTCTCCTGACATTGGAAATACCCGTGAAATCCTGGGGCTTCAAACCTTCTCTCTGGCACGTCAGCTTTAACTTACCTCACAGTTTCAGTGAAAATATGTTTGAAAGCCCATGGCTTCAAACTGGGGCTTTAAACCTTCATTTTTTTACATTTTAAATACACATCTTCTAAAATTTAATTAATAAATTTTAATTATTTAATTATTTAAAAGAATTAAAACGAGAATAGTTCATTAAAAAAATTACATTCATTATAAAAATTACATTCATTAAATAAAAAATTACATTCATTATAAAAAATTACATTCATTAAATAAAAAAATTACATTCATTAAATAAAAAAAATTACATTCATGAAAAAATAAATAAAATACTTGAATAATATTTTTTTAAAAAAGATGCTAGATAGAGAGAGATTTGTATTTGTGTTGAATTTAAAAAAAATTAATTAATTTAATTTATAACGGGGAGCGAGGGGTGGTGTTTAACGCTCCCCAGGCGTCAAAATGAGCTTAACATGGCTGGGCGTCATGCCCATTACCACTGCTCTAACTTATTTTTTTCTTCTGCTTTTTGTTCTAAAGCTTTGTTCTTTTTGGGTTAGAAAAATTAACTTTTAACTTCTAGTTTTTTTTAAGTCTTTCTAGTTCTTTCTAGCTTCTTCGAGTTTCTTTCAATAACCACTTAAAAAATGTATTTATATATGATGAAAATACAATAAAATTATATATCCAAATTAATAACATACTACCTCAAGGCTCAAACATAAACTATGATGAATTACTTTTTATATTCCCTCCGTCCCACTGTCTTTGTCCACTTACCTTTTGGCACATCATCCAATGCACTTCTTTAATCCATTTTATCTTGTAATTTGTATATTAAAAAATTATAGAAATTATATATTAATTATCTATATGTTAAGACGAATCAAACAAGATCACACATGACTATTTTTAGGCTTACACATTGAGAGAATTTGATGAGTCAAAGTGCTTAGATTAACAGTTCCAAAAGTCAAATGTGGACAAAGACAATGGGACAGAGGTAGTACAAAATTAGAGTTCTTTTACATATTTATTTGGATGATCATTTAATTGAGTGACTTTTTAACACTTGAATTCTTCCAACTTCTTTCCATTTTCTTTCAACATCCAACTTCAAAATTCTAACACAAAAGAACTGATCTTAAAGTGTGGTGTTGTGCATGAACTTTGCAGGCAGAGTTGAGGTCGAAGGCAATTGCAGTGATGATTGCATTTTTCTCCCTGACGACTCTGGTGGGGATCGGCATCGGAATCGGAATATCAAATGTATACGACGAGAACAGCCAAAAGGCGTTGATAACAGAGGGCGTTTTCAACTCCGCGTCCGCCGGAATCCTAATATATATGGCCCTCGTCGATCTGCTAGCCGCCGATTTCATGGACCCGAGGATGCGCCGCAATATGAAGTTGCAATTTGGAGCTAATGCCTCGCTTCTCTTAGGCGCTGGCTTGATGTCTCTCTTGGCCAAGTGGGCTTAATCTTTTTTTTTCCTTTGAGTTCTCTCCTTTCCCCTCTTTTATGTATGATTATATTAGGCAATTCTTCAAATTTTCTAGGAACCTTCCTTGACCACAAATTGTGATAAATATATATTTAATTATTATATAAATGCAATATACTACCTCTGTCCTACTGTCTTTGTCCACATTTGACTTTTGGAACTGTTAATCTAAGCACTTTGACTCATCAAATTCTCTCAATGTGTAAGCCTAAAAATAGTCATGTGTGATCTTGTTTGATTCGTCTTAACATATAGATTATTAATATATAATTTCTATAGTTTTTTAATATACAAATTACAAGATAAAATGGATTAAAGAAGTGCATTGGATGATGTGCCAAAAGGTAAGTGGACAAAGACAGTGGGACGGAGGGAGTAATTTGATTAATCTTAGCATAGAGTTTTGATATATCAAATTGTTATATCATTTATTTATTTAAATTATATTTTATTTATAATCAAAGAGTGTCACTATTTGACTATAAAATGTCAAAACAAGAAAAGTTTTTAGGATTGAACGAAGTATAAATCCTTAGTTTTGAAAACTAGTAAAAGAGGAAATGATGAATAATTTTTAAAAGATCATTTAAAGTTTTTTTTAAAACATTAATTTATTCAAAATATGTTGAAGATTTTGTTTAAAACTAATAATGTATATTAAAAATATATGTCTTAAAGTGGTGAAATTAATGGTCTATGAATAACATAACAATTAAAATTGTTTTAATTGATAAAAGATAAAAAAAATGATAATGGGACCAACTAAATAGTGACTTATGCTCGAAGCTGTGGCTTCAAATGTCTTTTGGTTTTGGCATGTTTTTTTTGTGTTGCGGGCTCGAACAACGATATCAATGTTCTTAATCAATCGCCTGTTTTTGATAATTGGGTTAATGAGACTGCACCTAGCTCGTCTTTTGAGCTTAGAGGGACGCTTTACAAGCGTGAATATTATCTTGTCGATGGAATATATATATATATATATATATATATATATATATATATATATATATATATATATATATATATATGGGTGAGTTCCTGTGAGAATGAACCTTGGTGAGAGAAATGAGAATAGATCTACACCATTAGATCTAGTGCATCATGCGGCTTAGATTTTGACAACTAACTACTAATTTATATGGTAGGTAATAATGCATTTGAAATAAAATAGGAAGAGATGGAGAAGTAAGGGCATTTTTGTAAAGGATGCACTAATTAAAATAGTAACCATTCGTGCATTAAGTTCCAAATTTTTAGCCATTATTTTAGGGATAGGCATATTAACTATTGTCATATTAATAATTTTTTAATCGTGCAATCTAAGGAGATGTCAAGTTAATGATTTTCTTCTTTTTTTTCTCTTTGTTTAATTTGTGAATTATTTTTTATCAAAATGAATAATATTTACGATTTAGCTCTTTATAATATTTTATTTATTTTTTGCTTTATTGTAATACATTTTTCATAGAGCAAGAGATTTGTTTATTTATTTATTTGCATTAAAAAAAAATTGAAAGCAAATAATATGTGGTTTATAATTTAATTTTTTTTCTAAATACTATTCAATCACCACTTTTTTCATCAATTTCTTTAACATTTTTTAATGTATATTTTTTTACTCAGGTAATAATATATTTAACTCTATGCACCATTTTAATATATAGCTGCAATATATATGGTAAATTGTGCATTCATTGTTTATTTATCATTGTAGAGTAGATTAATGAAGAATGACTTTTGAATGACTTTATATGTGATGAGAGAGCCCCAAAATATGTTGTACTTAGAGCAAGTGTAATACAAATTTGAAAAATATTTTGCCTATGCAGGATTTGAACCCACATCTGTAGTACATATCGCCCTCCACCATTTGAGCTAATAGGCATAAATTTGTTTTTTTCAAAAAGACTCTCATCTTGCACTTGGACATATTAAATATGCATTTTAGTCTTTTAAAATTTGCACGATTCAATATGTTTATAACTCATATTCAAATTTAACACAATATTTTAAAACTTCATCATTTGTTAATATTCACAATTTAAAATATTGAAGTGTATCATATTTATGTTAGGAGAATATCAACTTTAGATGCATCAACTTTAATTATGAGAATGCACAATAAGAGAACAGAAATGCATTGTCAGTTACCACAATTATGAGATTATATTGTCTTCTCATGACACTGCATTATTATAATTTTTATACTGCACAATACTCTCATGATAATACATTACGGTGTTTATGATAATGCATAATATCATAAAAAAGTAAACAAAAAAAGAAGAGATGAAAGAAAATAAATGCATCAATGTACACACTAATGAATACCAAATTGTCTTGCAACATTGTCAAGACCAAAATTTTCCAACTAAGTAACACAAACAGTTAAAATGAAGAGAAAGTAAAAGCAACAATATATACACCTCTAAGAACTGCACCACCACAACAATCAAGGCGTGATCTAAAAATTTTATGTATGAGTGTGAGCATGTGATTTTTTTTACACCACTCTATAACATGGTTGAATATGAAATCTTACCAATTTAATTTACTATGGAGTAAGTCTTTGAAATGTGAATCTGGCATATGCAGTAGTTGTTGTGAAAAATTAAAATGCAGCATATGAACAATATTGAGCAACATCAAATTAATATAATGCAACACAATATGTAGTGAATGAAGATGGGGCAAAACGTACATGAAATACATCTAAAAATTTTAATATCCAAGAACATATCAAATTACAATCTAGAACACCTTGACCATCCAATTTGTGCTCTTAACAACATATAGCAAAATAATGGAGTGCACTCTAGAAATTATCATAGTGCAAAATAGTAAACAAAAAAAGTAAAAATAAAAAAAAACTCATAAATGCATTACCCCGCATTCATAATGCAATCCCACCAAAACACGTAGAAAGTGAATTAGCCCCATCTGATGCCAAAATGTCATAACCCCATTCATCTTTTTCAAGTGAATTCAGTACAGAGTCAAAATTGAAGTCGAACAAATGATCAACGAAAAGGAGAAGACCGAGCTTGACTTCAATGCGATCATCTAGAACTCTAGAATGAACTAGAGACTCCAAATCGACCAAAACCTTGGGAATGCGCGATGAGATCTCGACTTGAGATTCGGCCGATAAAACTCTTCTCGTTCTCAATTAAGAATGAGATCTGGGTAGAAGAAACATCATTATATTCAGAATGACTGCTTTAAATGGATCGATTTCAAACCTTGATAATGACGGCTTTAAGGCGCTCCCCTGCTTTATTTCAATTTCTAAATATAATTGTTCTAATTCGTTCCCAATCTAAGTGAAATTGAAAACAATACTTGGTGGTGGATGGTCTCCACCATCCATCTATTCAAATCCGTGGCAGAAGCGTTGGTGGTTTCCACCGCTGGAGCTTTGAGCAAGAAAGGTGGAGATGGGGACTTGATTTTAGGAAAGAAATTACTCCACAATAAATATGGAATAAGAGAGAGACGGATGAAATGTTAAAACCCAATCATACCCCTGCTCGCACCCCAAAATAAGATATAAATTTTATCAGATCTAACGGTTCCTAATCATTCTTATTTTTTTCATTAGATCTCTTTCTCACCGGAACCAAACTATATATATATATATATATATATATATATATCTATATTATTTCTACAATTGTCAAGTCCCTCTCGGAACGAATCGATCTTAAACGTCAGACCTACAAAAAAGCTCATGAGGCAATGAGAAAAGATATCGAACGAGTTTTTGGGGTGTTGACGGGTAAGTGGCACATTATATATCGTCCCTCCAACTCTCCCAGTGTTATTTTGAAACGAAAATGCGGAATATCATGTACGCATATATTATTCTTCATAATATGATTATAGAGGACGACGAGTTTGCAATTTATTATTACAACCCGGACGAGGAGGTGCCGATATACAAAGAAATCGACGAAGAAAAGAAACAAAGAAAACCACCAAAAAATTCGAAGCTGAGATATTCACACTGCACAAACGGCGAATTTGGTTAGACATATTTTTAGTCGCTCAAATAATCATTTATTTATTCGTAGTTTAATTTTAAATTTTTTTGTTTATTTTGTTATTATTAAATTAATTTTTATTAGTGTAATTTTTTATTTAATGTATTATTGTTGTTTATATTTAATTAATAAATGAATTCTTATTAATTTACTTTTAAAAAAATGTGTATTAAAAAAATTTTAAAAATAAAGGTTTGAAGCTCCAGCTTGAAGCCCCAGGCCTTCAAACACATTTCCAGTGAAACTGTGAGGTAAGTTAAAAAAGAGTTAAAGCTGATGTCGGAAAGAGAGAATGTTTGAAGCCTCGGGCTTCAAACGTATTTTGAGTGCCCTAACAACTTCCTTTATTTGAATTTCGAGTTCTCATCTTCGAATTCGTATTTAGGGGTTGTGAATCACTTATTTCTCAGTTTGATTGATGATCGAATGAGTTTGTGATACGAACTACGTATCGGATAGAGAAGACTTAGAGCGTCTTCAAGCTCCTGAGAATATGGGACGAGGAAGAAGAAGAAGAATTGAGGCGAAGAGGGAATCGGCGAACCGAGAAGGGGGAAGGAATTAGGGTTTTGATTTGTTTATTGCTTGATTATTCTAAAGGGGTTACATCTCTTTATATAGGGAATAGGGAAACCCTAACGCTAACCTAACGGTTCAATAAAAGCGACGAGGGAAAGAACCGTAAAGAAACCTCGAAGGAGCTTATAATTTCGCTCACCTAATAAAATCTAGATTACAATATAATAATAATAATAATAATAATAATAATAATAATAATAATAATAATAATAATAATAATAATAATAATAATAATAATAAATATATAATCTAATATCCTACTATATAATCCATAACACTCTCACCCCCTTAAAAAACCACCTTGTCCTAGGACAAGGTGGAGGTTCCCACTCATGCTTCGAGACTGGAGAGAAAATGTTGACCCAAAGATTATGCCCACTTGATGATAGATCTTCATTAAGCCTGCAAATTGGAGTACAGCGATGGACATAAGAGAGAAGAGCAAATACAAACTTAGCTACCGGCGGTGAAACCCAATGCTCGGACTCCACTATATTCGCATGGGCAGAGGACTGGATGATATTAAAGAACAGTGAGATGTCTGCTTGCGTATGATTTACATCTGCTACTTGGGCCGTTTTGGGCGAAGGCACAAGGCTACAAGCGATGATGACATTGCTCAATGTTGGATCCTTTGCAACTTCTCCCTTACCCGGTGCATCTACGTGCGTATCAACAGCTACAAGATCCGATGGAAATGCATTAACAATACCTTCAACAGAAACACCATCATCAGCAACTTCAGGAACTCTCGCTGAATTACGAACAGTACGCTCCACAGATTCCATGTCCTTAGATGTAGGATTGTGTAGAGTGGTTGTAGGGGCCAGATCAGGTGGAGCAATGGGAACACCGAGAAGATTCCTTATAGCGTCCATCATCTTTGTTTTGAAACTTTTTAACTCCAAGGGAATATCACTCAATGCCATTGGAGTACCACGCACCAAATCTTGTATCGAGCAAGAGATTTCCACATTGAACGCATATAACTCAGAATCAGAATACGGTAGATCTAAAAGATGACGAAATAAGTGGAGCGTCTTCAAAATTTCATCCACATGATCATAAGCTATACACACACCGTCATGAAACTCAACTCTTCCATAAAAGATATTCTTCAACACACCAAGAAGTTTATTCAAAGCATCGTCCAGGGTCACAATAATTTTATCCAAAATCGAGACCATAGTTGTGGCAAGTGAGACCCAAAAAAAACCAGTGCACTCAAAATTGAAGGTAAATCCTTCGAGACAACACAAAAATGCAGTTCTCTCTCTCTTCTTTTCTGTGCGGCTGAAACTTCAAAGAATTGAGGTTTTTTTTGCTCAATGTAGACTAAATCAATCTCCCAGCACAAACCAATCAAAATCACAAACCAACAAATATAATATGGAGTTTAGAACTGGAACAGTACTCTTACGGAAAAGCATGTAGAATTCAGATTGGGAATTTCTTTTGGCTCTTCGGCTATTGAGGCTTTGCTCCTGTTCCAATTGTTTTTTTTTCTTCCTTCTTAAATCGGCAGGTTTTTTTTTGTTTCAACTTTGCTAATTTGGTGAGGGATGGTGTTTCCTCAACCAAGATTTCTTCCGGCGGCAACAATGAGGAAAAAAAGATCTAGCGGCGTGCAGAACTCCTTCCGGCGCTGTTTTGGACTTCTTTTTTTCCCGGTGAGTTAACTCTCAATGAGAGCACCAATGATACGAACTACGTATCGGATAGGGAAGACTTAGAACGTCTTCAAGCTCCTGAGAATATGGGACGAGGAAGAAGAAGAAGAATTGAGGCGAAGAGGGAATCGGCGAACCGAGAAGAATGTAACCCCTTTAGAATAATCAAGCAACCCTAACGCTAACGCAACCCTATTCTCTTTATATAGGGAATAGGGAAACCCTAATTCATACTTGGGAACTATATATATATATATATATATATATATATATATATATATATATATATATATATATATGAAATGGGTTATGCTACACTTACACCACAAATTGTACCCCATTTGTACACCGCAGTTATACACAAACATTTTGATTGTTTACACCGACATAAGTGTTGGTGCATTAACAAAAATTTACACGGACACAAAGTGTTGGTGCATTAATAAAAAAATTAGTTTTACATCAACACAAAGTGTTGGTACAAAGCTACGGGGTACAAAGTGGGGTACAAAACATGGGGTACAAATAGCTTTAGCCGTATGAAATAAGGATTTGACAATCAATCTGCTCAACGGATATGATCCCAAGTTTCCTTTACGAGACACGTGACGCCAATTTCTCAAAGGGGCCTGGGAAAATGTGAATAAATTATATTAACTCGGTTGCCAAAAACATCCCGGCGGCAAACACCTTGATCATGAAAAAGAATTTTAGGAGAAGGCTAAGAATGAGGCACTCAGTAAGAGAATAGAAAATCATACCCTTCGTCCGGTAGTACTTTTTTCAGTCAAAATTGTTAGAGTTTGATCCCAAATTAAATAAAAATGATACGTATAAGATATTGATACAAAAATAATTTTATTAGATTTATTATATAAAATATTTTCAAAATATTATTTAATCTAATTAATATATATTATATATTTTATTTAGTTTTTCTGTATAGTTCAAAGGTTGAAAATCTTTGACTGAAAAAAGTTAAAATTAGATAAAAATTCTGGGACGGAGGTAGTATCTTTTAAATTTACATAAAAAATTCTACAAAATAAGAGGTGACAAGACTATATTATTTTATCAAACAATTAACAAAAATAAGTAAAAAAAATAATCAACATTTGACCATATAAATATTAACTGATCGAGAAAGACATTTGAGAACGCATGAAGTACTATACATAGTAACACTCCCATACACATATGTATGTAACCCGTAGGTCATGCAAAGAAACAAGGCTAACTACCACTAACCCGGACGTCAATATGCGAGAAGCATGACTTTTTTTCTTTTATTTTTTGAGTAAATCTTTAAAACACTACTCAATAGCTATGTATTTTTTTAAATTAGTCACTAAGATAAATTAATTATTGACATGGTACTCGTTAATTGAAGATAATACTCAGTTTAGTCCCCCGACTAACCGCCATCAAATTAGAGTACGTCAAAACAATACTAAAATCTTGGAGTAATATTTATTTTTCAAAATGATCATTTCTAGTCGATTTTTTTTCAAATTAGTCAATTTTTGAAATAAAATCTCAAAAAAGGGTGATCTCCCGGCTTCGCTCAAACACCATGAATCAATTAATAAAAGGGAAGAATCATGTTTCGGCTTTTCGTACTAAATGAGTTTTTTTTTACATCGAAAATAGACTAATTTGAAAAAATATCCAATTATATATGATCGATTTGGAAAATTAGAATAAGTGTTAATGTCGTTTTGACGTTTAGGATGTGGGAAGGATAATTAGATTGGGTAATAAGACACTTGGATTGAACCACATTAAAAGATTAAATCCAATCAGTTACTTAGTTCAAGTCAAGAGCTTATATACCAATTTATCTTCTCTTCAAATTCCGATATGCGATACTCTTTAACACAATGTCAATAATGTTAACATATAATGTCAAAAAAATTACTCCCTCCGTCCCACTATATTTGTCCACTTTCATTTTTGCACACCATCCAATGCACTTCTTTAATCCATTTTATCTTGTAATTTGTATATTAAAAAATTATAGAAATTATATATTAATAATCTATCTGTTAAGACAAATCAAATAAGATCACGCATTACTATATTTAGGCTTACACACTGAGTGAATTTGATGAGTCAAAGTCCTTAGATGAACAGTTCCAAAAATCAAAAGTGGACAAATATAGCGGGACGGAGGAAGTACCATAGAATGCCAATAAATTAAATCCAATCAACCTTAATCTTCTCCCAACTACTATGGGACCTTTTTAGGTATAAATAAGGGCTTTGGGGTCTGCTTTTCATCAAACAACTCCTCTTATTCTTTATCATTATTTTCATATCTTTTGTACGGAGTACATCAAATCATTATTTACATAGATGATCGATTTAATAGATTTTTTAAAAAAAAGGGACCAAAAGCGAAATTAACAAATTTTATTTGAATAAAAACATATTTAACTTTTAAAAAATACGGAGCATAAGTTATGAATCATATGGTTCATGAAAACTGAATACGGCCAATTTTCAAAAGGGAATTAATGTGACATTAACTCGTATGTTGCTCTTTGTATTTTTTCGGTTTTAAGAGATCAATTTGTGCCAAGTATAAAATCCCTCGGTCACTAGTGAAGTTTTTCACAATTACAAATTTATTTACAAGCAATACAGATTGATATTATTCACTCAAACTACTTATAGGTTCATAATTATTTATTTTTTAGAAGGATATATAATATGATGAAGATTTATTTGGTATTGGGATTGTCTTTCATCCTCTTGGGTTTTGGCACCAGTGGTAATGACACCAATTTTGTTTTCTTTCGTTCAAGTTGGTCCCTTTTTAATCAAACTAATATCATCATCCAAGTGTATTTGTTAAATTTGATATTTTTGACTTAAACTGGATGAACTTTAATCATTATTTACTCTTAATTTGTATTGCATATTAATAAAATTAAATCAATTTTTAAAATTTCTCAACAAATAAATCTAATGAAATCATTTTTATATTAATATACATTACAATTTTTTTTTATTGCAATCCAAAAATTATTTAGTTTGACATGATAAAGTCAAATTGAACAAAAACACTAAAATAAATGTAGTATATTAGAAAGCACTCCATCCATTTTTCATTAAGGGTATTATGGTAAACTTTTACCTTTTTTCAACTCTTCTTAAAAAACCACCAAATGTCAAAATGAGAACATCTTAGGGGGACGGAGGGAGTACTTCGTAATACTTTGTATTTGTAAATACATACATTCTCAATCTAATAAAATATACTGCCTCCGTCCCATAAAGTCTTTCCTATTTACTATTACGGCCTCTCGATAACTCTTATTTGTTGCGTGTTTTCATTGATCCTTTGGTAAAATAAAATATTCTTGTCACCTCTTATTTTGTAGAGTTTTTGATGTAATTTTTAAATATAATTTTTTATTTGTTATTTCTTTACCAATTTGCAAATAAAATCATTTTAAAAATCCACTTGGTTTTGCATGTTAATCAAAATAGGAAATTCTTTTTGGAACGGAGAGAGTAGAAAACTAATAGTCTAATACCCACCCTACTGGTTCGAACACGTCAATATAGGAGATCTTATTTGGTATTGGTAGAGTCACAATAATGCCCGTACATTTTTGGCCTTGGAGTGGGATGTCTTAAATCAAAATGTATAAATAATAATGGCAAACCTGTGGGAGAGTTACATTTTCCTCATTTGACTTTTCAGAGTCTTTTATGTAATACTTTGATAATTATTATAGACATTTGTTAATATTAATATTTAAAAATAGATAGTATATTTTATAGAAAGTTAATCTTTCACAACTAGGCTCCAAAATGAAATTATTGATATTATATTTATATAGAATTACAATTTATTTTTTCGTAAAGCAAGGTCAAAATTTACAAATTTTGACCAAGAGAAATTAAATGAAAAGATTAAAATCCAAACAAAGGAAGTAGCAGTTCATCAATACAAGCAAGATGCTCATCACAGGCCATCTAGAAATTAAACAGACACTATGTTTTTAACATATGAGTAAGGTTGTGTACACCAGATCCACCTCCAATCCCTTAAGTATCCCGCAATGGGCGGGGATTCTTTGAGGCACAGTGATAATATAATGTTTTTGTTGTTGTTTACAATTTCGTTGCTCGAGCATAAAGTATATCACTTTATCTACTTCGTATTTATTAAATTCAGATGCGTTTCCAAAGAGAATGACTCTTAACATGAGAAGTAATAACGATGCATGGTTACTTCATCCTCTTTCATACTCCGTATGTTTGTTATTGTTTATGTTTCAGATACTACAACCATGAAGTCATCTCCATCTCCATCTCCTGTTTGTCCATACCCTTTTGATGACATGACGTTACACGTGGAGAAATGTGATGCCATTTCGAGTGGGGTTGATAGAACTAATTGCGAAGTTTCGTGCAGTGAATATAACTGTTTCGCTGGGAAATGCATAGACAAGCATACATGTTGTTGCGATTGCTATTGGATGTAGCTACCTCTCAATCATTTTACTTATTTTTCAAAATGGAGACCAAGAAGCTGCACTTTAGTAAAATTGGCTCTTCCCAAACCATCAACAAAGCTTCATTTGTATCAAACTCTTCATTCTATTAAATAAAAAATAAAAAAATGACTTTACAAAAAAAAAACCTACTAAGGCACCGTTCCGTTCAACTTATTTTTTTCTTATTCTTATTAAAATCAGATCAGATCAGATCACACTAGATCAGATCAGATCAGACCAGATCCAATCAGATCAAATCAGATCCAAACAGATGAGATTAGATCCAAACAGATCAGATCTGATCTGATCCAATCAGATCAGATTAGATCAGACTAGATCAAATCAGATCCCATCAAGAATTATTATTATTATTATTATTACTATTATTACTATTATTATTATTCTTAAAAATGAAAAAGAATAAACTTTAGAAACAAGTTAAATAGAAAACTGAGAAAGTAATCCTTAATTATTAGACATCGTAAAAATTATTTTTAAAATACATTGACAATGTCAATCTAATTCTACTTTTAAAATACATTTTTATTGATACTTGTAATTTGAGTTTCTGAAGTTTTGATCTTTTATAAGATGAGATATTTTAAAAAAATACAATCTCTTCTATATTAAGATTATCAAAATTTAATTATTTTTTAATGTATTTATAAATTAAATATTTATTCTAATGTATATATGAAGTAATTACTAAAATATTAAATTAATATTCTAATTTCACAAAAAAATAATCATAAAATAAAAAAATATTATTACATTATAATATGAATGATTATTCTAATATACGAAGTATGAATTAAATAATTTAATTTTATTAAAAAAATCATAAAATAAAAATATTTATTATATTATAATACTCTCTCCGTCCCTGAGTGTTTGTCCACTTTCATTTTTGCACACCATCCAATGCACTTCTTTAATCCATTTTATCTTGTAATTTGTATATTAAAAAATTATAAAAATTATATATTAATAATCTATATGTTAAGACGAATCAAACAAGATCACACATGACTATTTTTAGGCTTACACATTCAGAGAATTTGATGAGTCAAAGTGCTTAGATGAACAGTTCCAAAAGTCAAATGTAGACAAACACTCAGGGACGGACCAAGTATGAATTATCATTACAATTTTAAAACGTTATTATAAAGTCAAATCAAATTATTGATTTGAATTTTAAATCAAATCATAATTAATCAGATCAGATCAGATCCAATCAGATCAGACCAGATCAGATCCAATCAGATTAGATGAGATCCAATCTAATCATATCAGACCAGATCATATCAGAAAAAATAAGTTGAACGGAACAGAGCCTAAGTGTGTTAACGTGTGCAGCATTGCATATCAAGTGTGTCGATTCAATGTTGATGAACAATGTTAAATTAAAATTTCTTAGATAGACTAACTTGACTGAACGCAATATACAATATACATGGATTGTTTTGAGTTACAAGCATATTTCGAAGGACCGAAACCAATATTAAAACCAATAACCCATACCCCAATACTGGTTACAAATTAAGTGATCAATTAAAATTGTCCAAAAGTGATCCACTCCACTACCCCAGTCCACCCGGCCGACCAAAAAAAAATTGATTGAAATCGACAAAAATCAACTAAAATTAATTGAATCAACTTGAGTTATTCTTTTGCTGGCCAAATAGCTGAGAGTATCCAAAAATTGGTATCAATACCTCCTCTGTTTTTCAAAATTTATTTTTAAACTCTCCGTGGTTTTAAAATATTACTCTCACACACCCTCTGATCATTTCACAATTATTTTCAAGAGGGGAAATTTATACATATTTTTCAAACAGTAGATGGCACCGTGTTCATTTCTTATTTTTCTTTTAGTATTTGTTTTTTTCTTTTTTAAAATCTTTTTTATCTCTTTGTTTCCTTTTCTTAGAAAACTTTTTAAAATATCTATTGAATTTTTTATTATGTTTTAAAAATTTTAAATTTCTTTGTGTTGGAAATACAATAAATAAACAAAAAAATATATACTCCGTCTATCTCTAATTAAACATTTTCAATTTTTTTTAGAATATTTTTTTTGGTAAGTTCAAAAAAGAAAACTCACAATAAAAAATAAAATAAAAAATATGGAAAAAATGAAAATAAAAAATTAACATGCAAAAAAAAGTCTAACACAAAAAGGAATTTTTAGAACGCCTAAAGAAGTATTTAGAATTGGAATGTCTAAAAAGGATATTCATTTTTATTTTTTATTTTTTATTTTATTTCTTATTTTATTCCTTATTTTTTGAAGTTCTAAAAAAAATTATTTTTTTAAAAAAACATAAAAGTGTTAATTTGATTTGTACAAATGTAGTATATGTTAATTATATTTTTTCAAGCAATTTTTTTTAAATTTAAGAACATTATAAAAATTATTTTAAAAAGATATTTAAAAAACCTTGATTAATAAAAGAAACAAATAAAGGAAAAAGAGGGAAAAAATAAATGAAAAATAAAAAATGAGCACCAATGTCCCAATAGTTTGAAAAATATGCAACAATGCCTCATTTTTGTCGGAAAATGATCAGAGGGATATGGGTGCAATGTTTTGAAACTACAGAGACATTTGAAATAAATTTTGAAAAATAAAGGGTATGGTGCCTATTTTCTAAGCCATGAAAGTATTGAAGCTATTTGGCCTTCTTTTGCATAAGTATACATGTTTTTCTCCCCACTAATCTGTCGCGTATAGCATAACTGCCCAAACTAAGAAAATACTTTGGAGAAAAATGCACACTAGCACTATGTTTTGTTCAAGGAATTAGGAAGGAAAAAAATGAGTTTCTCACATTTTCCTCGCTAAAATGAAATTCCATCCTTTTAATACATTTCACCTTTTCTTTTTCTTTTCCATCTACTTTTTTTTCCTCTAACCAAACAAGAAAAAATATTTTTCAAATTCCTTGAATCACATAGTGTAAGTGCACACAGAGGCAATCAGATACACACAGATACTCTCTGTGTATGATTGTCTTGGTGTGCATTTCCTGGGGTCCCCCAAACACCACCCCTCACTATTATTCTACGGAGTATAGGATGAATCCAAGAAAGTAGAAACTATCCCTTTTGGGAATGTTTCATCTATCATTTCCACTTTCGACTCCTTAACGTAGACCACTGTACTAAACCTCCATCAAATGTGCAAGTATATATAAACTGATCCTTAATGTTTTGGTGGGTGTAAATATGTCATTAACTCTCACTTCGAGTGCACAATAGCATTGGTATTTAGTATTTCTGGAGCTTTTGGGGTATTTCACGAGGAGAAGATCAACAATTTCGGCATGGTTTACACAGTTCGGACAAGTTTCATCATCTGTGATGCGACTTCTCGTGTTCCACGTTACATATTGTAGTCTACCAAGCCACATGAAAGTCCTCCTGCGGTTTGATACTTTTAGTTTTCATATCTCATAAACGTAGTTTCTATCAATTTTATGTTAGAAATAAATTGTGTCAACACTTTCAAAAATTATGTCATGTTAAGTATATTCTCTTAGATTTCAAGATTGCCAATTTTACTTTCCAGTTTTATTTCTACTGTCTAGTTTTAAAGATTTTGTTTTTGTCAAATAGATAAAGGAAGACTGTTATAACTTTTAACTACTAGAGACATTACCATGCAAGGAGTACACAACATGATTGAAAAACTTGAATGATACACTCAATACTTGTTACTCTCTCTGGTCTGCTCATCTCTCAACCTAGTCTCCTTAATGCACACCACATTCACGTTTTTTCTCCTAATCATATACATCAGCTCCAAAACCTTGTCGCTTCTACAGTCAAGCTACCGAGACACAGCCTAAAGTCTGGTGCTCTCTTCCTAGTTCCTACTGTCCCGCCCTTCCATCCAACGTTTAGCAAGACTGACTTCACTCGACTCCCAAGACACCCGAGATTTTAGAAATTACTCCCTCCATCCATATTTGATGTTCTCACTTGACATTTTCGCAGAGTTTAAGAAAATGATTTCGTGTTGTTGAAATTCATTAAGAAAATGAAAGCATTAATATGCACCACACAATTCTTTCCGTAAAGAGAAAGATGAATATTAATTGAGATTATCAAGAAAGGAAAATGGAAAGATAAAAGGGGGGTGGAGGGGGTGTACTAAAAGCAAAACGAAAGAAAAACTTACCAATTAAATAATAAGGGCATCAAGATTCCGCTTTCCTTCTGGGCCCTTTGTGTACCATGATGATACATAGTTGCCATACATCACTTCACGGTATTTAGGCGGATGAAATGCAGGGGAAACCTTTCTTGTCTTTGCAGGGTCATGGAATGTAGCTATCGAAAACCGAGGTTGCTCAGCATTAGTTATGGCGCGGTGTATAGAGCTTCTGTACTCTCCATTGGTTATGATCTGTGAAGTCAAAATGAGAGTCAAGAAGCAAATTTAGGACAATTCTTCTTAACAATGTACTCTACCGTTCAGAAAGAATCAAGTTTCAAAGGTTTTCAGTCGCCCACAGTGAGTTGAAATACCTCAATTTGGTCAGCCAAGATGACAAGTATAGCATCAGATAGGGGATTCACAGTTACCCATTTTTCATCCTTAAGAACTTGAAGTCCCCTAACATCATCTTGGATGAGAAGAGTAATGGCACCCATATCAGAGTGTGATTGCAAGCCAAGAGTAAGCTCCGGCTGTGGGCATGGGGGATAGTAACTGAAAGTAATGTTCTGATGAAATTCCCCAACTGCATCTTGGATGCACGAACATGGCAGGCCTAGACTCTTGGAGATCAACCCCAAAAGTCTCTGTGCGAGGATTTTCATACAATCGCTATACCGTGCAACAACGTCTCTGCACAATTTATACACATTAATAGTTAGGCAGTGAATTAATCCTAAACAAGTTCTTTTGTGATTGTTGGAAAACCTTTAAGCAGGGGAATCCAAGTATGATTGCCTAAATCCAAAGCAACTAAAACTCAAAATGATGACTCTAAAATCTTAGTTCCTTATATTTTTTGCTCTATTATCAATATCTCGACAAATACTACTCATATGCAAGTTGAACTACTGCTAACAACAAATTATGTGCTTTCCAACAATACACAGCATGATTAGTAACTTGATAAATCTCCCAACAGCTAAACAGATTCAGAAAACTAAAGAGTGCTTTCAGAGTTTGACTCTCAAATTACAAAATTAACCTCTGTTGATTGAAATTGTACTTTACTGCGATTATCAAACACACAGAAACAGACCGGGTAATTATACAATTAATAGTAATTACAGAGTCTCTAGTATCCAATCCCGCCCTGAAAGCAGTCAAAGAAAGGAAGAAAGCGAAGAAAACCTGTAATCGGAGGGAAAGTGGGGCCAGCGAGATGGATCGCGGCGAGAGAGCGGCAGCGTGTGATGGTCAAAGTAATCTCTCCAGTCCAAAACGGCATCGTTCGAGGCAACCAACATTCTGCTGCCGTAACCCTCGGAAGCAGGCAAATCCGGATCGCAGGAATACCTCAGCTTCTCCGGCAGAGGATAGTCCTGGAAGAAAGATCGGCCGACGCGCCTGGCACCATCCAGCAATTCGACGGAGACTCCGTGGTTTACTACGTGAAAGGCTCCCCATTCCCTGCAGGCCTTTCGCAGTTCGCCAAGGATGAGGTCGGCCGGCGCGCTCAAGTCGATCGTCGGCACCGGATGGAGGGAGTCGTTGACGTTGATACGGGGCCTGTTATCGGGCGGCTGCACGTATACCGCCGGCACAACGGCTTCACCTTTTTGAGCTAGTGATTGAACTCTCTCGGGTTGATTCGCATCCGCCATTTTCATTGCTTCGACCTTGGCATCAGTTCCCGTCATTTCATCTGGATGAATTGTAGCCTGGGTCACTAGCTCAGCTGTCCCCTTCAATTTAAACGAATTTATTTAGCAACAATTATCGAAAATAACCACAATTTTATCAACTTTAATAAAATTTGGGAGTATTAGGTAGCCGTTAAGTTACTTAAAGCCGAATTAGCAGAGTTTTAGAATCCTGCACAACAAAATGAAAGTTGAAATTACTTTTAATAAATTTTGTTTTAAATTTTTTGAAATTTTCATTTAAATTTTTAAAATAGATTTCTGCCTCCATCATTTCTTTTTATTTTAAAAGATTATTCTTGTTTTGGACAAAATAAAAATAGATATAAAAATAACAAAAATGAGAAAAATAACTAAAATCAAACAAAATTAATAAAATAAATATGATAATAAAATGGAAATTTAAATGAAGCTGCTACAAATAACATAAAAATATGAGTGAAAGGTTCTAATATTTTACGCATTATATAAAGTATTAATTTAATATTTCCTATTTTTTTGAAAAAATGGGTAAAATTATGATTATTTTTGATAATTTTCCTAAAAATAAGATGTGGTACACTAATACTCTGAATAATGCGTAAAATGTTAAAATCCATCACTCTGTATATTTTTATTTAATTTCGTACTAGTTTTAGGTAATTTTTTGTTGATTACAGTATTTAGTTTATTAATTTTTTATGATTTTAGTTATTTTCTCATTTTTTTATATCTATTTTATATTTTATAAAAAAACTAGAATAATCTTTTAAAAAAGAAAAATAAATGATGGAGTTAAAAATTTATTTTAAAAATTAAAAAAAATCAAAAAATAAAATAAAAATGAAAATTCATCTAAAATAATCACAACTTTAATTTTGTTGCGCAAAATATGCCATTTTCGTTAATCCATTGTCAATACCTTATCGGCTACCCAGAACTCGCAAATTTTAATAAAGTTGGGATTATTATGTATGACAGCAAATGATGAGATTATTTTTGAAAGACCAAATAAAGTTATAATTATTTTGGATAATATTTTTAATAATTTACAATTCTACAATGTGGATTTCAAAATTACTTGATTTTTATGGGACACTAGTATTCTGCCCGTGTCACGCACGGGGTCAAACAAAATTTTATCGATTCTGTGAATTATCTTCAATGTAATATTTTTTAAATGAGTTTATGAAAGTGTAGGTAATTCGTTCTTTATAGACATTAAAATCAAAATAAAATAAATAATCCTATTCTTAAAAGCAGGGGAAATTTTGCCCAGTCAATTTTCCGCCCAAATGCACTCTTCTATGAGTCGTCGATCTTTGAAGATTTCATCATCTATCGTACGATAATCTAAAAAACGTAAGAATCTCAATCTATATTATTACATAGGTACTATAAAAGAATAAAATAAATACAAAATGGTAAGAATTAAAAAAGGAAATCAGAAGCAAAGGTTGCGTTATTTTTTTTGTTTTATTTTTAAAATTCTAAATATGAAAATAATTTTATTTAATTTTAATACTGAAATAATAAAAAAATATTAATGGTAATGCGTTAAAAATTTTGTAACATGATCAGATAAAAATCTACTCCGTAATATATTACATTTAAAAGTCTGTATATATAATATTACATTACTATTTATAAAAAATAATACTAATTATTACACATTAAATATAAAAACTATTGTAACAAAGGATATAAAAACCGGAAATAAAATTTGTGAATAAAAGTAATAAAGTAATCAAAGTAGGAAATACATAAAAAAAATTGTACGCCTAAGAATTAAAAAAGCAAAGGTTCTCCTTTTTAATTCCATATTTGCGTTATACTGTTTTGTTTTTTTAATTCCCAAATATGAAAATACTTAAATATGGAATACTGGAATATTAAAAAATATTAATGGTAATGTGTTAAAAGCTTTGTTACATATTTGATAAAACTCTACTCCGTAATATAGTACATTCAAAAATACGTGTATATAATATTACATTACTATATAGAAAAAATAAGGAAATCAAAGGCAAATGTTGCGTTATATGGTTTATTTTTTATTTCCATATTTGAATTATATTTTTTATATATCTAAATATGGAAATAATTTAATACTTATGGAAATATGTGTTCATTTTTTTGTATAAATTTATTTTAATTGAATTTAGTTTTAATACCAAAGTAATAAAAAGTAAATATATTAATGATAATGTGTCAAAAGTTTTATAACACGGTCATATACAAATCTAATACATTACATTTAAAAGTTTGTATATATAATACTAGATCACAATATAAAAAAATAATATTGATTGATATTAAATATAAAAACTATTATAAATAAGGAAACAAAAACTGGGTACAAAACAACATTATTGTAAAAAATAAAAAATATTGATTAATTAGTATTATATATAAAGAGTTTCAAAGAGTTTTTTTTATTTACATATTTGTGAATAAAATAATAGAGTAATGAAAGGATGGAATAATTATAAAAAAAGGTAAAAATTAAAAAAGAAAATTGCGAGTAAATAGATTATGTGAGCCGTTAGAACATAGAAGTATTGTTACGTTTTAAGAAGAAAATAAATTCTTTCTTATATAACTTCATCCGATAAAAATCTAAAATATTACATCTGAAAGTCTGTTATATAATACGGTCATGGAGTATTACCTTACTATATGAATAAGAAAAATAATATTGTTATAAATAGGGAAACAAAAAACCGGATATAAAATAAGAGTACATTATTGTATATAATAAAATAATACTAATTAGTATTATATATAAAGATTTTTAAAGAGTTTTGTTTTTTATTTGCATATTTGCGAATAAAACGTAATGAAAGAAGGAAATAATTGTAAAAATTGGTAAGAATTAAAAAAAGGAAATCGCGAGGAATAAATTAACTGAGATGTTAAAATGTGTATTGTTACGTTATAAGAAGAATGGCCTGAAGATTTGTATTTATGATTTAGAGAATATTTCCACAAGATGTACCACTAATATAGTTAATAAAGAAGATTTTCAAATTTTGTAATTTATATGATATTCATGCTTTACAATAATAAAAACATTATATCTCATTATATGGTGTATTCCCTTTATTATGCAATATAATGACATCAATATAAATTTATAATTTAAATACGAGCCGTGCAACGCACGGATGTGATACTAGTTTATCATTTAATATTTGATAATGAAAATGCTCATATATAAATTTAAAAGCAAACACTTCAAGTCTTTCTTGAATTCATACTTTTTTAAAACCATTTGAGAATATAACATTTTTGTAGTGGTTGCATGGTTCCATTATTATTTAGAACCAATATTTTTTACCCAAATGGCACCCTCTCATAGAATGACTGATATGTATACTTTCGTACCCGTGCGTTGCACGCCAAGAATATTCTCCAAATCATGTGTAATTTATATATCAATATTATTTTGTTATAATTATTTAAATAAATATGGATGGGATTTGAATAAAGAATAATTGAGTATATGCAAAATAATGTTTAAACCATGGAAATAGAAGACTACAAACCCAAGAACAGTTCCACTTTGAAATCGTAAATCGTCATTGTGTATAAAAAAGAATCATTAGATCATAATCTTTAGGAGGGATAGCTCAAAGTCTAAAAATCCACCTTCAAACCCTCTTCAAGATGTCGTATAATGTGCTAAAGATTCTCATCCTTCAAACAAAACAAAAAAAATTGATAATCTTGAAGAACTATTATAAAATCATAGCTCTTTTTCCAACAAACAATCTAGTAGAATCCCACAAAAACTATAGATCTGTTTTTTAATCTTAACATTAAAGGAAGCCACACTGGTTATAATGTTTACTTAAACATCAAAATAGATTCTTTTAATTTAAAATTGTGTTAAACATACCTAAAGAGTAAATTACTTCTTAAGCAAGATGTGTCTCTTCTTGGCCTTGTACTCCAAATTTAAATGTAGAAACAAAAAATATACATTCAACATGATTACCACTTATCTAAGCATCAACATATATGACCAATAAAAGTTTCACAATTCTCAAATCAAGAAACTTTGTGTGTTTCGTTTCAAGTGTTATTCTTCACTAAATATCATGTTCGAAGCTATATTAACATGCGTGTTTAGTTTCTTTAATTTCAAGAAATAGTATAAACAAATCACTACTTAATATTAGGTCATAAAAATTTTTGGCTGCTTATGGTTAACAAAGAGAATTGCCAGAGAACATATAAAATAAACCCAATTAAATTCTACAAAAATAGGTAGGTGCTTGTTATAAAATCATTGTAAATTTTTTACATTATTTTAACCATATTTTGACCAATTGCCGTAAAATTGCAATAAAAAGATTTATACAAACAAAATGAAGTTGATGCCTACATGTTTGGCCATGCCAAAATTTGCAAGCTTAATTTCACCATTGCACATTGGGGGCAATTGAAAATAAAATCCTAGAACAATGCCAACTTGTCTTAATTCTAAAAGATGATTAATCCAATAGTGTATATCATTTTCTACGGGTAAAAAATGTTACTTTACCCTCTGCTCTCCCTAGCATAATAGATGTGACCAAAGTTTCTTCTCTCAAGCGGCTGTCTAATAATGTCAAAATAATTGAGAGCCCATCTCTTTTTCTCATCACTCGCGCCTTCATGTAGAACCTGTAGACATAAATACATTAGCACATTCTGAGATCAAGTCACAATAACAAAGTTAACTAAAAGATTGTGCAAACTCACTGTAAATTTTAATTGTTTTAAAACATTTCCAATGCCATGATATGCTAAAGAATAGGATAAAACTTGAATGTGATGGTCATTAAAAATGTACAAAATGATGCATACATTTTGAGGATAAATACTAACATTGAAAACTTTTTTGTTGCAAGAATTGCTTCCCCAAAAAAACCACTCCTCATAATTTGTTATGAGGATGATATCACAAAAACTCGGTATGTTCCACCATATTGATGTTTTTAGTTTTTTCAATCGCACATCCAAAAATCTTCCCAATTATGTGTGAAATAGACCAAGCAAGGTTGTGTTAAGTTTCGTAGAGCGTCTACAAAAATGAGAAAAATGTAGAGAAACAAATCCAATAGTAGTTTATGATCTTGGCATCCCGTTTTCCAAACGTCTGAACTGATAGAGAAATAAAAGAAATTTTTCATTCTTTAGAGGCTTCGCTATTGTTCTCTAAATGAATTGAATCGCATACGATCATTTATGATGTGTGCAAGAACAGATTTTTTTCAAAGGTTTCATATGACCATTTATGGTTCATATGACCATTTAAAAGAACTGTTTAAGTCTAAACAAATACAAGAATAGAAAAGAACTGTTTAAGTCTAAAAGAACCATTTATGATTTGCGCAAGAATAGAAATTTACCCTTCTCCTTGTTCTTGAGTGTAGAACATTGCTAAAAATTTTCATTGGTCTTGAACTCAAAATTCTAGTAAATATGCCTTCCCAAAGCAAAACAAAGAGAAGATATGTTATCTCTTAGGCCTTCAGACTTAAAACTCTATAATAAATCAAAAATAAAAATTACAACATCATCACAAATCTTCATACAATAATATAATGGAAGACATCAAATCTGAGAGTAAAAATATGATTTGATCCCTGAAGTATATAAAAAACTCATAATTGTTAAAGTTGTTTACTGAGTTTAAGAAACCCAAGGAAATGTCACATATAATCTCATTCCATGTGTGTTCTGTTTAAAATAAAGAGAAGATCCCATTCTATATGTCTAAAATAAATATTTAAGGTGATGAATTATGTGGGAAGTGATGGCTAGAATTAGTGAACGAACAAAAATTATCATCATCATTTAGAATCAAACACGTACAATAAGGGCTAAATTTAATACTCCGTACAATAAAAAAAGATCACCAGGTTCGTAGTTGTATAATTTAGGGATTAAATAAGGTATTATTCATATGATTATATAGGTCCTAAAAATAATATAATTATTGTGCGATGTAAATATGAAATTGTTTTTTAAAGAATACAGCACCCTACATATGGCTAATTTTCATAGAGAAATTACCATCTGATCGAAACTCCATATTGTTGTTTGAGATGTGCCATTGTCCATGCCCTCGTCATGGGAGCCATCAAACATTTGAACCTATGATATCAAAATATGAAAGCCTTGAGAACCAAATATATTTTTAAAAAAAAAAAAATTATAATGAATCAATTTATTTAGAATTGAAGATTTAAAGGGAACCAAGATTACAATTCAACTATCTTGTCTAGCTGCTTCAACCTCAGGTCCCTTTTAGTTATTTTCAAAAATCTATGTTTAAGAAAATTAATTCAAAAAAAAAAAAATGAATAAATTTTTTTCTACCTCGATTAAACACTTTTTTGCAATCTATCAAAGATTCTGCAGGTAAAGCACCTCCATAAATTTACCCTTCTTCTGGTTCTTACATGTAGGACATTGCTAAAATTTTACATTGGGACTGAACTTGAAGGTCTAGAGCAAAACTACCGTGCAAAGAATGAACCCCAAATCAAAATTGAACTCTTTCATCCAAAAATCCTAGAAATCAATTTGAAACATAATGATTATGAAAAAAACCTAACATTGATGTCTTTGGCGTCGTCTTGGATGTCGCAATTTCTGATTAGTGCTCAAATTCCTCTCCCTGAAAACTTCGAAACATGGAAACTTAGATCTTGAAGATTAAGGGGGACTCTGGCGAGAGTGATAGCAACGAACACATCTGTGCTGAAGCAATCGGACAACGGAGGATGTTTGAGTGAAGCCTAGACAAAAGGTTTGGCTTAGCTTCTGGCATAAGCCTCTTTGACCTTTATCTGCTAGCATATGGAAAATTTTGCATATGGACAAAGAATCACGCCGAATTTTTGCATATGGAAATTTGTTCAATCGCGAAGAACAAATCCAGATGGAGAAAGAAGGCGAATATTTTCTGAAGGGTTCCGTGAATCAATCGAAGAAGTGATAAAGAGAGAGAGACGCGTGTAAAAAACTGCCACATGTCAAAAAAATAAAACTCTAAAAACTGCCCCATGTCAAATTCCTAGAAATCAAACTCTCAAATTTTATATTAAAAATTTATTTAAACGTCAAATATACAAGTGTAACTCTCATTATCCAAAAAAAATTTGGCGATGCATGTTCTAGGGTTCTTTGTTTTTTTATTATAAAGTTCTTTTAATAAAAAAACTATTTTGAGAATTTACTTTAAATTTAAAAAAAAAAATGTAGAATGAAACCATTTGTTGCAGCATACTCTGCTTACCGTAGCAAAAGCGTAACCCTAAGCGGAAGAGTAGATAGTGGTCGAGGGAGAGAATCACATCTCCCGGCAGAGCGTATAAGAACGCCATCATCGTCACCGGCTATCTATCGTCATCTAGTCATGGATGCTATCAGGAAACAGTTGGATGTGCTGATGGGATCAAATCGAAACGGAGACGTCAGCGAGGTGAACCGGAAGTACTTCGACCGTGATGTTTGCCGTCTTTTCCTCGCCGGCCTCTGTCCTCACGATCTATTCCAACTCACAGTGCGGATTAGCCTTCCTTTTTTCTGTTTACCTTTTGGTATAGTTTATATTTTCCTATTTTGACGACTTCATTTTTGGTATTTGATCCCTTGCAGAAAATGGATATGGGCCCATGCCCAAAGCTACATTCTCTGGAGTTGAGGAAAGAGTATCCTTAGCTCAAAGTTTCCCACACTCATGCATTCCCCACCTTCTTGGATGCAGCGTTGTTTAGACTTGATATTCATAAAACCATACATACACAATTTCAATCTGATTTTGAGTGCTTATGTTTGTAGGGTGTGTTGCCTCATAGATATCCAAAGATACAATAGAAAGGTTTTTGAGATGATGAACTTCTCGTGGATGATAAGAATTAGAATGATGGTCCGGGATTAATTGTAATCCTGGAATGGTATTTTTCTGAGTTGTGTTAGTAATTTAACTTTTTGGATACTTGAAGTCCCGTGGGTTTATTGTCTCTGATAGTAAGTTGTTAGTGTCTGATATCCTGCATTTTCATCTTGTGAGTTACTTTTTGAAAATATTCACTGCTCTAACCACAGTTGAGTATGGCTCTCCTTTGGCTACCCACAATTTTAGATATGTTCTCTCCCTCCCTTTCTCTGCGTGGCGTGTCACCTTAATCTCTTCTATAGATATATGGATGCAAAATCAAAGGGTCTTGATAACTATGATGGAGACCTGGAGGATGTTATTGACAGACTGATTGTCGAATGTGATAGGAAAATCGAAAGAGCCATCAAACGGCTGGCCGAAGAGGACGCCAAGGCTGCCGTTGCGATATCAGTTTCTGAAGTTACTCAAGTATTAATTACATTAGCACAATTTGGCATTTGTAATTTCATGTCTTTTTATGCTAAGTTCTGCCCATTCCTTTCTTTATGTTGTTATCAATCGATGTTGCAGACAGAAGAGATTCTTGAATTGTCAAAGTTGATTAAACAAAAGTTAAAAGAAGCTGATCAATATGGTATTTATTAAAGAAACTCCTGAACATCATGCTCTATATATGCCAACTACTTTGATATATCAACATCCTTGATGATGAAATGGTGTTCCTAAATTCTGCCACTATTATCTATGCAGATCTTGAAGGCAAGACTGATATGAAAATCCATGTTCTTGAAGAGGTTGAAGAGCTCCGAATCAAAAGAGCTGACAAACAGGTGCCAATTATGTAAAGAAGATGTACAAATCCTTCAACCCAAGAGTACAATATTTGTAATTTTTCTCCGCACTTATTCACATTTGATTACAGGCAATACTTTTACTGGATGCCTATAACAAAGATCGAGCATCTCTACCCCAGCCAATTCAAAACCATCCACATTTAGCAGCATTGCCTGCTGCTGTTCATAATCCTCGCATACAAGAAATGATAAATGAGAAGCTAAAGAAAGCAGAATATCTTGGTAGGTTACTGCTTTAAAGGGCTGTAGTTTTTTTAATTTCATTTTTTGTCTTTTTACCATTGCATCACAACTTAACTTTTCTACTGTATGAAATAAGATTTTTTGAACTTTGCGCTTTGGTTGTTTGATAATCTTTGGCTTTCATAGTCAATTTGTATTTTGAGTTATTCATTTGCATGGAGTGGGGTTCTGGGCATTGGATGAACCCTCACATTTAGAAGTGAAATGGCAAGTCTGTTCTACACGAGCTTTGTTGTATGGATCAGAGTACTTGGTGGTGATGTTCATAAGCTCCAAGTGGCAGAATTGAGATACGAGATGGGTGTGGGGTCATATGAGGATGGATAGGGTCTGGAAGGACGTTAATCGGAGGGGGTGGAAATAGTCTACCTGGAGGAGGATAAGATGTGTGGAGGACTACGAATGCTCCAGTGAGGAGTGAGGAGGGACAAGAGGGTTATAGGATAGGCTTTTTTGATAGGTGCCATACCCTTGTGTAGGACTTGTCTACGTTTGCTGTCTTTGCATGTTTGTTTGCTTCTATTGTGTAACTTTCCTTTGTCACTCCTTTTCCTATACATGTTTTTCTATGTTCGCTTGTTTTTTTCCAGTTGGGGACTCATAGAAACAGCCTCCCTACTGAACAAGTAGGGGAAAGAACTGTGTATATACCCTCCTCAGATCACACTCGGTGGGATTTTACTGTGTTGAGTTTGTTGTTGTTGTCATATACATGAAACATATGAATTTCTAAAATCATTTTCCCTCCTTTTTCTGGTCTTCTATTACTTAAAAGGTGGAAACAATGCACTATATCATGTCTGGCTAAGTAGCAATCTACTAATTTTAATACAATCTATTTAGCTAGAAATCATATAAATTATTTCTTTTGGGTTTGTTACCCAGGTGAGCAAGGGATGGTTGATGAGGCACAGAAGGCACTAGAAGAGGCTGAAGCTCTTAAAAAGGTTGTCAAATAATTTATAAGAGATGCTACATTGTTATGATTATTATTATTATTTTTAAAGAAATCAAGTTTCTCCTTTTCAATCCTTAAAAATGTTGCTGGCTCATTTTCTAGTCTGCACATCCTTTCCCCACCTGTCTGCAATATATATAGTTAATATGTTGTAACATTTACTAGTTTTGTTTCTTTTACATGCTTATATATATAGCTGCCAGCAGCACGGCAAGAACCAGTAGGCGATTCCTCAAAGTACACTGCTGCTGATGTACGCATTGTAAGTCACAAACTCTTTCATATTTTGAGATCAAAAGCATGCACCATGTTTTACTGTTGCAACAAAACAAGTGGATAAACTTTTGTATCAATGTGTTGTTAAACAATGCATTCTGTTGACCCGTATAATGACACAGTGCATTGAACATGACCATAATTGGTACAATTAAATATTTGTTCAAATGAAGGGTTCCCAATATAATTTTTGTTGACATCTTTGATTTCATGGAGTTAGATTCTAAGCTGCAAAGCCTTGTTCTTGTTGTTTACCCCCTCCGTCCCAAAAAGACTATCTTACTTTTTTTTCACAGAGATTCTGAAATGTGTTGAAGAGATATTGAGTAGTTAAAAGTGAGTGGTTAGACTTTGCTTAGAAGAGAGAGAAGTTGGACAACGACCCCGTTTGGCATCAGCGTTAGAGATTAGCGTTAGCGTTTTGGAAAAGCTATCCGACGGTAGCTTTTAGCGTTGGCATTTTTAGAATTAATCTGCACCATTAAAATGTTATCCAAAAAGCTAACGCTAATCGAAAACGCTGTTACCAAACAAAGCCAACATATCTTTTACTAAAAAGGGAAAGAGAACAAGTAAGAAATTGTTTTGGGACGGATGAAAAAGGAAGTAAGGAAACCTTTTTGAGACGGAGGGAGTCTTAAGTTAAAATATGAACCGTGAATCTTTTGTTTCACCTCAAGCACTCTTTGCCTCATTTTTGTTGATTGTGTTTATATTGTTATCTCTTCTGCAGACTGATCAGAAGCTGCGTGTTTGTGACATTTGTGGAGCATTTTTAAGTGTTTATGACAGGTAAACCTTGGGCACTCTTGTTTGATGTGGTTAGCTTTTTAGGGACAACAAAGAACATCTTGTGTTATGAGTACTACATTTGACAATGGATTACCTCATTGTACCAGCAGGCTTTTTGGGCCCAGTTTTACGAGGATAATCTTTTGCAGCTAAATAATGTGCGTGTTTTTCTGTTTACTGTCTATCATGCTCTCATTGGCTAGATATAGTTTCCATTTTGGGACAATTGTGTTACTTATCCTCCTGTCATGACATGAGTTTTTTGAGGATAATTTAATAACCAATCTGTCTGTATGGTTTTTTCAGTGATCGTCGTTTAGCTGACCATTTTGGAGGAAAACTCCACTTAGGTTATATCCAAATCCGAGAGAAGCTTGCTGACCTTCAGGTATGCATAAAATTATTATATTTTTGACCTTGTCAATTTCTTTGACATTCTTAATTTGTTTTATGTTTCACTCATTTCTTCTTTATGGTAGATGAAATATTGTAATTCAATTCACCATTTTGTTAAAAATCATTGTTTCTTTGGTAGAAGAAAAAGGAAAAAAATTGATTAGCACCTACCTTATCTCGATGCCTTTCATGGTAGCATGGAATGTGAAGATTTGAGTTCCAGCTTCATGCCAGGATTTTCACTATTTCACTTAGCATCTTATGTGCGCATCATTTAGCTAAACTATAATATCTGAACATTTTGATTCAGTTTAGATTATCTATAATGTTTCATTTTAATGGAAATTCTCAGTTTAGATTATCTATGCTAATTTTCCTATCCCCCCGTGAAGATTTTATTTTATGGATTGATATATATGCACGCTTAGAGCATCTCCAACCGGCAGTGTGAACTTAAAAAATAGAGGGTCTGGCTTTTACTGTAGACAAAAGTGGTCCCCAGTGGGTAGTCTATTTTTTTACAATGTATTCTATATTTGGTTTTTCATCTTCTATGAATAGACTACACTGTAGATCATCTATATCTTTAAAAAATAAATTTTTTAGTTTTAAATTAATTTTAATACTCTGTAGATCTTCTTGCTCACTTTTCCACCCATTTACAACCACGATCATTTGCTGAATAATGGTTACTATCTAGCTTCTGTAGTTCTGTTAGACTGCCTTCCATTACTCTTCTTTGCCCAGTTCTTCAATTAAATATATACGTTCAATTTCTTCTCTTTCTGTTAACGGTTTGGTTGCTAAATATTGGGAGAGAAGTGGATGATGCATTTTCAGTGTTTTGACAGTCATCCTTAGCATGACTTAACAGATGCTTCGTGTCTATCAGCATTGCATAGAACATGTGTGATGAAATCTTCAACCAATAAATTATTACTGTATGAGAAGCCTATATTGTACCTGATGTTTGGAAAGCAACAAGGAATTTTGAAAGCTAAAACACTGTGTATAAGCCATTTAAGCTTAAAGCTTACAATTTTATCCACTTTCCCTTGGAGATGCTCTTAGGATGGATATTCAGTGTGATAAGGCTTTTTGCTGCTGTTTGATACTGGTGACGGCGGTAGGATTGAAAACCATGCAGTTTTCTTTTGGTGGGGACTTGTGAATTGTATGGACACCAAAAATAAGTTCTGTATGTGTCCATCCTTCATGCTTGTATTACTTGACTGTTGTGGATGTAGATTGTTTGTGTCCATTTTCCAAGGTTGCAAGTGCTTTGACTATATTGTACCTAAAGCAAGATGAGAATTTTGAAGTACAAATATCTTCACATTTATATTGTCAGGAACAGAGTTCAGATATCATATCTTAAATGACAACAAAACTACACTCTTGTTCGAGTAAAATACAACTTTTTATTGAGTATGGTACACTTATTGTCATTGTTTGTCTGAGCTACAATCCTTCTTTACTCCTTGGAATGGAGTTAAGGTGCACACATCGTTCTCTAGACCTGACATTTTTGTGGTTGGGTGTGTTTGGAGTGCAAGTTTGGAATATACCGAGCATATCCAAGAATGCGTACCATAGTGCATGCTTTTTGCCGATGACATCATCCTTATGGTCAATCACAAGAGGATTTGAATGGGAAGTTGGATTCATGGAGACATGCTTTAGAGTTGCATGGCCTGTGTATAAGTTGCACTAAAACAGAGTATATGGACTGCAAGTTTAGCATCGAAAGAAGAAATGTAGTTATAATTAACATGAAGGTGAAAGTCAGGGAAAATACTTCTCCCTCCATCCTAAAACTTTCTAGTTACTATTCACATAGTCAAACTTAAATCTTTTTTGTTTACCTATTTTCGTTAGTCATTTGATAAAATTATATAGTTATGTCTCTTCTTTTTTGTAGAACTTTAGATGTGGTTTTTGAATATTTAATTTTCATTTTTTAATTTTACACCTATAATCAAACAAGTTAAATTGAAAATAACTTCAGTAGAGCCTCGTAAATTGAAATGGGAAGAATATTTTAAGACGGAGGTAGTATATCACAAGTAAAGAGATTTAAATATTTTCGCTGCATAATTCAAGGCAATGGAGAAATAGTGGATGATGTTAACCACAAGATTGAAGTCGGTTGGTGAAAATGGTAGAGTGCTTCGGGCTTTAAATGTGACAAATAACTACCTTTAAAACTACTGGGAAAATTTTATTGTACTGGGATTAGACCAACTATGTTGTATGGAACCGAGTGTTGGGTAGCAAAGGGTGAATATGAACACAAGGTTAGTGTGGTCGAAATGAAGATGCTTCGATGGATGATACAGGTATAGATCGAATAAGGAATGAACATATGAGAGTGAAAGTTGGAGTGACATCTATTGTAGAAAAAATGGTGGAAACTCATCTTAGGTGTTTTGGACATGTGGAGAAAAAAATCAATAGAGCATCCGGTGAGAAAATTTGATCAATTGATGAATAAACTTGTGGCTAGAGGAGGTAGACCTAAAAAGACTTAACACAATGTGGTCAAGGGGACCTTCACGTGAATAATCTCGTTGCAAATATGGTATATGATATGGTGCAATGGCATCATTTGATACATGTAGCCGGCCCACCTAGTGGGATACAACTTTGTTATTGTTGTTGTTGTTGTTGTTGTTGTTCTACATTGGGTATGTGTGGTTTGGTTTAGTTTGGTACTCAAGGTGTAAGTTTTGACATGTTATGAATGTTCACTTATACTCCTTAAACATATTTCCAAGACTTGTTGGAACACTTGACTACGATCACTTGGCACTACGGGAATTTCTTTTAAAATTTAGAGTTGACTTCTTAAAAAACCAGACCCTTTTTGGAACAAAATAAGTTATTCAAACATCACTCTTTTTTATTGGATAGAGGGGTAGTAAAGAATTTGGCCACTCAAATAGTCAAATTATTCTTAATGGCAGAGTCAGTTAATCATCTTTTGCGTAATGTTGTCATATGATCCCATGGTCCACATTCTTGCCTTGCTCTTTGAACAAATCCCATGACAAGATTTTGCTATAGTTATTTGGACCTGTAAACGAAAAAGGATGTAATCTTGCACACAATTAGTACGTTGGAAGTACCTTGATTATGAACTTGAGACTCATGCCAAGATGATTAGAGAATGATACAATAGTGTACAATACTATAGTTCGTATTCAACTACTCCCCAAAGTGCAACATCCATGTCTGATGGTCTGTTCCATATCTTGACTTTCAGATGTTAACAACTTAATCGAGAGTAAATTAGTGAATGGTTGAAATTCTAGCCCTATAGCTAATGTCATTGGTCAATGGAAGTGGTCAGTGGCCTAATGAAAAGCTTGAAGTTTTTGGCAAAAGTATGATGTCCAAGTTTTACCGTGGTGATTTATAAAACAAAACAAATTATACCTGTGATCAATTTACATCATTTACAACTTTAAACTACTTGTGATACTCATCCTCTACTGTTTTGTTCAATGTGAGCATTGAACGAGCAGTTTAAATAAGACTGTTGAAAAAGGTTGCTGGTATGTATATTATTCTTATCCTATATCTCATCTGGGTGTACATTCCCGAAAGGAATTTCTTCATTTATGTTCCATCGTCAAACGTAGAATTCCCTTACCATAGCTTTTCTAAGTTTTTCTGTTAAGCGGCAATAGGCCAGTGTTATGCTACAACCTCACATTTTTTATGATCTGCAGGATGAGAAAAACAAAAAACGGAAATCATATGAAGATGAGAGAAGGTGGATGCAGAATGTTTCTCTCCCGCATTGCTTTGTAGTCTATTAGTTGCTTCACTTGCTTGTCCGTCTAGTTAATGTCATTGCAAACAGTTCTCATCTGTTTTGTTGTGCAGATCTAGAGAACGAAGTAGCCGAGAGCGCGAAAGTGAACCAAGCAGGGATCGAGGTGAAAGTCGTGGTGATCGAGGGAGGGATTATGATCGTAAGAGCAGAGAGCATGACAGAAGACACTATGATGACCATAGCTATGATAGGAGGAAGGAGCGGTCTCGCAGCTATGATTCTAGGAGCCGCCACAGATCAAGGTCAAGGTCCATAGAACGCTCAAGAAATTACGATCGCCACAGGTTCTCTCTCTTTCTCTCTCTTAATTGCATAGTTCTTCACACTATTATCATTCTAGGCTGTGCTACTTTTAAAAGCTCTAAGTGCCTGCCTATATTTATGATGTGCCTTTGCTGCAACTCAACTTAGGTAGGGGCATTGAAAGACTCAAGGAAGGGTTTTTTCTGCATATAACAAAGATACCCTTTTAGTGGGGTTTTGAGAGCTTTTCACTCACCCTCTCTATTCTCTTCACGGTATTTTTCACATTCACTGAACGTATCCATGGGCCTTCCTCTGCCCATAGCCTTGATGCAACTTGGGTGTGGATTCTCTTTCCTTTTTTGGGAAAAGAGTTTAGTCCAAAATACTTCTCTTATAAACAAAATCTAGCCACCCACTTTCTTTTCAACATCTTATCAACACTTTTCACAATCTTCGTGAAGTTAAAATGGGTAAATTATTCTGAGGCAAAGGGAGTATATCATAGCAGTACGTATATCTGGGACCAAAGCTCTTGTGCAATTTTTTTCCTTTCTTTCTTGGTGGGTGGTGGCTCTTGCTGGAGATATAGGCACACCTGAAAAGCAGATTACCAAGAATAAGAAAGCTGTTTTATTATAAAACAAGGGTAATACATTCATTCAACAAAACAATGAAATCTGGAGTAATGCATCACCTCCCCCACACGCAATGGAATGAGTAGTTCTAGCTAATACATGTGCAGACTCCTTTGCTGCACGATGAACAGAACAGAGTCAAATCTAACCTCTTCCGACCAATTAGCAAGGATAAGTTTACAAAAACAGAAATCAGTTTACAATCAGAAATAAAAGAACAAACAAAAACACCAAATCGAGTACAAATCCTAGAGGGGTTTGGGGAGGCTGACTATACGTCGACCTTACCTCTACGTGAAAAGTAGAGAGGCTGTTTCTAAGAGACACAGGTTCAAAACAAAAAAAATAATAGAACCAAAATATGATACTCCCTAAATGATAAATCATTAATATTTCCCTTTAAAGCTTCAATCATCTCATTGCAGTCAGATTCGATCACAACTCTATCCCAGCCCTTCCCTTGACATCAGTACTCAGTAGCTTCCGTGTCTTGTGAATAAAGGACAAGTGTTGTAGACAAGCATGGCAAATCATCAATCACTGCCCTCCAACTAAAGTTCCTAACCCTCGGCTGTACTTTAATGACCCTCACCTTCTTCTAACGCTGGGTACCTGCAGACAGAAGGTGAAGCTCACTATCCCATATACAGTTTTTACACTCTTAACCGAATAAGAGCCCCCTTTTTCCATCCTCACCAAAAAGCAGTAACGTGTTTATAATCTCTTTCATAAAAATGGCTAGAGACTGAAAATCCCAGATCCCTAGGGTCCATTACCAATGAGGTTCGAGTTCTTATGAATGCCATCCTGGCTATTCGTGATATAAAGAATTACCGGTTTGTACAGTCACTTCAATTATTGTACTTAGCTTTACCCTAGTAAGCCTTTGCAGAACATCATTAGTGTAGTGAATGCCTGACTTGCCATCCTGGCTATTCGTGATATAAAGAATTACCGGTTTGTACAGTCACTTCAATTATTGTACTTAGCTTTACCCTAGTAAGCCTTCACAGAACATCATTAGTGTAGTTCTTTGATTTTTTTTCCCGTAAACTGGAACATTTACTTATTTTATTTATTTTTTCCAACCTCTGGTTTAAAGTTATAATGTAGTTGTGTCTAGCACCAAATTTCCGCATTTTATGTGCATAGAGTTTGATTGGGTTAATGCAATCTTCCGTTCTTCAGGCGATATTGATCACAACATGCTGAAATTAAAGCGGCTGTTCTCTGCCAGCCACCGTTCCATGGGGGACTTGAAAAGATCTGTTTTATGTAAAAACCTTTTTCGTAATAATAATGATGCTACATGTTTTGTTGTGGGATCTGGGATTTTCTGTATGTAGGGGGGTGAATTTAAAGAGGAGTACTTGGGATTTCATCATTGTTGTCTTTGTACCCGGTAAACTCGTAGCTCGTTTTATGGAGATTTACCAATTGATAGGGAACATTACGAGCACAAGGCTTTTTTTTTTCTTTTCCAGAAGGGCTACCGATCGATTTTTTGTTGTTGAGTTGGTCAATTGTGGTCAATCTTAGGTTGCTTTATATTCTTATATGGTTGTTTATTGGCGCAAATGACCAACTTCTCCAAGCATCATATGATGCCTAACTTCTAGGGTCCCCCACAGTTTAGCAGTGTACATATCAATAACTTCATATCGCTCCCTGTCTCTTCATGTTGAGTATGGCAAGCAATTCAGTACCACCAACAGCTAAGTTCGCTCAGGTGAGCCATTCCCTAATTTTAATTTAAGGCTGAGATTCTCAATTGCTTATTTTATTGAGTTTCCATAAACGAGTTGTAATGAAGTTTAGTTCTCCCTTTGTCTCGTAAAAGAAATCACTAAAAATAGGAACAAAATTTTGCACTTATTACCAAAATTAGAGTGACATTATCATTTAAAAATAGGACTATTGTATTGGGACAATTTGACACTCTATTTTTACATTTGACAGTTTTTTTGGTATTATATGTTGACATTATAAGTCTTATATTAGGGATAAAAATGTACTCCGTAATTTTCCAAGATTCTAACCACGCTTTTTCATTTTCAAATACTCCGTACTTTTTTTTTAAATTTTGTGAAAGTCAAAGTGAAGATTTTTATGAGAGGAGATAATATGTACTTCACTTGTTCCAACTTATAGTGTCTGTTTCGATTTACGATGTTTGACTGAAATTATGCACCTAGCACCGCTGGCTCCAATGTAGCCACCACTGATCATCTTCGTTGTCGGCTCACACTGTAATTGAGCCCCACTATTCCTACTCAGTACTCAATCATCACCACCCCCGCCCCGCACTGTAGGGCATGTCCATCCATTAGCGCTGGCTTGACCCTCGTTGTTGTTGGCTAGGTATTGCTGGCCACCAACTGTTGTATGTCATTCTTTGTTGCTGATCACCCTCGTCGCATGCCACCCACCATCGCCCAACACATGCCCTTGTTGGTCACTCTTCGTCATCGACCGCCTCCTTCTATTACTAACAACCATTATTTTATATTTTTAGAACACTTTTATTTTATATTTTAGAGTTTAGAAGCCAGCAGTCCTAACATATACTTCTTCGTCTCAAAAAAGTTACCCATATTCACTATTCTTGATTAAACTTTAACTATTTTTATGCTCATTTTCATGACTCATTTAATAAAATAAAAATAATGTTATCACTTATTATTTTATGATTTTTTTGGTAAAATTTTTAATACATAAATTTCATTTTTTTCATATAAATTGAATTAAGCCTAACACATTGGGGGGGGGGGGGGGGANAATGCACACTAAGAGCATGTTCTTTAGGATTGGAAAAAAGAGCTGGACGTTGGAAGAAACTGGAAAAAACTGGAATGAACGGGAAGAACTGGAAGAAACTGGAAAGAATTGAAAGAAACTGGAAAAAACTAGAAAAACTGGAAGAAACTAGAATGACTGTAAGAAGCTAGAAAAACTTCAAAAATTGGAAAGCCTAGAAAAACTTTAAATATATTATTCTGATTCTAATTTTTGTTGTTATAAATTATTATTATTATTATTATTATTATTATTGTTATTGTTATCATCATCATCGTCATCATTATCACCATCATCATCATCATCATCGTGTTATCTTAATGAAGGTCTTTAAAATAAAAAAAGGTTTTGTTATTTTTCAAATACAAAAATTACTTTTGCAAAAAAAATAATTATAATATAAAGTTAGCATAAATATCAAAATATTAAATTTAAAAAGTTTTTGTGGTTACGTTGCACCTCAATTTTTTTATGCAATACTTATTATAAATAATATATTTGTAATTATACTTTATATACTACAAGATTTTGTTTTAAATAGCAGACATGTTACATAATGTAATCAAAATTATTTTTTCTTTCATGATTGACATTTTATATTCGTTGTAAGTCCTATTTTTGGAATAAAGACATATAACTTTTTTTACATTTTTTATGTTTTACTCCTATTCTAGTTTTTTTCTTTAAATTGTCTTGACTTTCAGTTTTTTTTATAAAAATTAGAAAAATGAGAAAATTTTAAGTAATAAAGGGAAAGGTAAGATGTTTTATATAAAGTTAAATTAATAAAACATTCTATGTAACTATTTTGTCCATAAATTTTTAATATAATTTAAATTATTGGTATTTTCTTGTTTTATCATGTAGATTAATATAAAATATAAATTGTCTTATTCATATTAAAAAGTTGAAGAAAAATAATGAGTGTGAATCATAAAAATAGTGAGATGAAAATATTTATTTATAAACTATAGTTATGAACATAACTGTTGTAATATTACTAATAATAATAATAGTAATAATAATAATAATAATAATAATAATAATAATAATAATAATAATTATCACATTAAAAATATATTGTTTTTAGAATATTTGATTGGGGAATAGAAAGAATTTGAAGAAAATGAAATGCTATCCGTACAACAATAAACAATGGTATGCGTGAAGCAGACGTGTTAATAAAAGGCCCTGGGCTTGGAAGAGACGCAGCATTACGAGCGATTCGTCGAAGTGGTATTCGATTAGAGTTGATACTAGATGTCACTCCTATGCCACAAAATGGCTGTAGACCTCCGAAAAAACGATGTGTATAGAGAGAAAAGATTCATTTGTTACTCAAAACTCAATAAATCCTAGGATGTGATAAAAAAATCCCAGTTTCTATTGTTGTGATACTCAAATGGAAATGAAAGCAGCTAGTAAATGCTTTTCCTATGGGCAACTTAATGAAAGGTCAAACCAACACACTAGACAGAGCAATGCAAAGCCAAAAGCGTTGGTTACAAATATAAAATTTAATAATGTCTTTCAGAGCGTCTGTAAAATGAGGGTCATATTAAGATTTTAAGAAACTTTATTGATAATGCTATTTTTTGTGTAATTGATTATTCATCTAGATGTGAAAATCATTAGTTTGAAGAAACTGGAAGGACTGGAAGAAACTAGAAAGAATTAGAAGGAACTGGAAGAAACTAGAAGGAAATGAAAGAAAGTGAAAGTAATTGGAACATGCTCTAATAATTTGTTCTTTTCACATGTTCTAATTGATTTTGAGCTGGTTGTTATAATTTGATCTGCTCTAATATGTTGATTCTGTTCTGATTACATTTATAATTAAAGATATCTCTGATTAGTTACAATCTGATTCTAATAAAAATAAGTAATAAGTAAAAAGAATAAGTTGATACAAACAAACCCTTGTTCCAAAAGGCGAAACAGTTCACCCGAGTGTCCCTCACTTCTTGTCCGACAAGATTGTGAGAGGATATAAATCATAATTACTCAACCGACAATGCATAAGGAGTCCCCCTCATTTCCTTGAGAGACTGCTCCCACATTGATACTGATGAGACTTGATTCTTGATCTCTTATTCTAAATTCCACATCTGAAACTAGTTGAATTGCCATGCAGGCAAAAAAAAAACAAACTCTAGCATTCTAGGTGGAATTATCATAGCAAACTAGTGGGATTATTTGATTTAAAAAATAGGTGGAATATGGGATTTTTTGCTCGAATTCTCCGTAAATGCATAAGTGTCAATTTGGTATACGAAATTGATGGAATTAGAATTGAACTAGTGTTTAAATTTTATGAAATTGATTTGGATTGAATTGAATTCATTAATTTCAATTCATTTTTGACACTATCAATTTCAAATCTACATATTTTTACGTTACCAAACATTGAAATTAGAATTAGTATCTCGAATTTTAATTTCATAATTTGAATTCTGTGTACCCAACAGAGCATAAATAAGGGAGGGAATGTCAAAAAATTGTTCATAAAAAAAGTTAAGGAGAATCATTTGCTAGAGTTTTTTTCTTTTACAAATTTCGCTGAGATAGAGAGAGAGGTGGAAATGGAATCTGGCGATGAAGAAGTGATGGCTCAGGACGCCAGCGACGAGGGTGACTCCTACGACGACGACTTCTACGGCGGCGGATGTGGAGGTGTTGAAGACTCCGACGACGACGTCATCATGGATTACGATTTTATCGACAACGACTCTGATGATTCCGATGGCCTTGTCTCACATTACCGCTCCCAGGTACGCGCCTTCTTTGTCCGTATTGCAATCACTTGATTTTCCTTGTGGAATTATAATCAATAAATTAATTATTGTTTAACTTGGTGGTGTGTGCTTATTTTTCGTGCAATCTGTGCATTCCGATCCAAAAGCATCATTTTGACCTTAATTAGGGGCAAAGAGAGCATCCATTTTCTCTTTTTCTGTAACCACAGTGAATTCGTTGTGGGTAAACTCCATGAGCAATGATCATTTCTGAGCTTTTGTTTTCAATCAAGTCCCTGGGGATCTGTTGAACCAGATCCTGATCGTTTATCAGTATTTTAGGATTTGTGTTGTCCTCCAATTGTAGGAGAATTTAAAAGCTTAGCATTAAAACATCGAGTTCAACATGCAATATTGCAGTTTAAGTAATGTATTCTTTTAACTTTTTAGTGGATAGAACTGATAGTGGATAGAAGAAACAAAGAATATGCTTGTGAACTTGTGATGAAGAAGTTGGGTTCCCTTGCATTCTATGGTTCTTTTTGAAGTGGAGTGTGTTACTTCTGTACTTTAGTTTCTAGTTATCACCCCCAAAAGCTATTCATATCTGTTAAATTTCTGACACATTGATGCATGCTTCATGTGAGCTATTCTATGTTTAGTTTTCTGATACATTTTATGCCCTGGTAATTGTATAAGTACCTAACTATTCTAGTATTCAACCCACCCCACCCTTCACCACAAAAATCCCCCTTTAGACCAACTACACCATTTTGAATGAAGCCGATATACACCAACGCCAAGAAGAAAGTATTACAAAAATAGCTACGGTTCTTTCCATATCAAAGGTCGCAGCTGGCATCTTGCTCCGCCATTATAACTGGTAATTCTTTATACATTTATTTCTATATACACAACCATATAATCCCTCCATCCCATGAAAAGGTTTCACATTTCCTTTTTTTTACGTCCAAAAAGGTCACTCTTTCCTTTTGAGGAAAGAATTGTGTGATTCACTTAATTTTCTCTTTTCTACACAAAAATCAACCACACTTTAATATTTAGTAGTAATCCTATCCGGTCAATTGTGGAACCTTATTTTGAGATAGAGGGAGTACATGCTGAATGACATGATGTGGGAATTGGGAACTAAAAGTCTAAAACTTGTATACTAGACATAGTTCAAATTTTCATGCAGATCTTCATATTCATGTTTAATTTTTTAGCTATGTTTTTGAATCACAGGAGCGTAAGCAAAGTGCATGATGAATGGTTTGCAGATGAAGCAAAAGTCCGTAGGACTGTTGGCTTGTTAGAAAATCCTGCTCAACTTCCCATCGAAAAAGAGGTCGTTTATTTTTAATTCATTGAAAGTTTTAATCTCTGTATGATTTGTCACATAATTTACAATTTTTTGGATTTTAGTTGGATGATTGCACTCTTTTTGTTGTATAATCATGTTTTGCTGGTTTTTTATTGGGGTTATTTTTGCACAGATAGCTTGTGGAATCTGTTTTGAAATGTATCCTCGTGACGGAATTGATTCGGCTGCTTGCGGTCATCCTTTCTGTGTCACATGTTGGCAAGGTCGGTTCCATGAGCCCATCATATGGTTGCAACTTATCTATACAGCCAAATGTCTCAGGGCCTCTTTGTTGAACCCCGTTTTCTTAAGAAATCTAAGATTGCCACTTTTATTTAATTATTTGGTCTTCTATTATCTTATCCTTATTGGTTTGATGTCGCACATTTCTGATTCCATGGATTTTTCTAATATTAATTGCCAATCATTATTGAATTGGAACTCATCCTCTTGCCTTTAGTTTTCTAATACTATTTGACAATTATTATTGAGTGGCTTCTTCACTTATGGTGTGTTTGGAGAGGAAGACTATTATGGGATTCCATATCTCTGATATTGAGTTACTAAAAATGATGTTTGGTGAGCAAAAAAAGATTATAGATTCCAAATCTGGAGATATGGAAACACTCCATAAGGAGAGATTTTTGGTATCTGGATTAAATCACCGATTTCATAACTGAAATCGCCATACTTTAGCTTATTCCATTTATTCAATACGCATGCCCTTGCAATTGAATCACTAATTTGGAGCAGCTGAAACGACAGCCTGTCGAAGATCTCCTCCCATCAGTGACTCAGTCTCGGGCTGTGTTGATGCCGACTCTATCTCCAGTGGCACCAAAGACTCTATCTTTAGCGATTCTCAATTTCTCTTTTGTCTTTTTCATGTTTGCTTCCTTTCTTTTATTCGTCCTTATCGCACTGCTTGCAATTTTGATGGATCTGACCTTTTGGTCTTAGGTCTCGTTTCTTTTCTTGTAATGAAAAAACAACTTTCTTTCTTCTAAGAAAGGATGAATTTAAATCTTGATTTTTATTTTTTAATGACTCACCAAACTACTTAAGGCCGGCCCAAGGGTGGGCCAAGAAGCCCTACCGTCCCAGGCCTATTTTTTTGGGGCCCAACATTTTTAATTTCTTATTAAAAAATTTAAAAAACTTAAAATTTTAAGGTATGCATTAAGAAGTTTAATTACAATACTACAATTTTCTTATGTGTATTACTAGAATATTAATTGTTACTCTGGGGTATTTTAAAGAAAATAGTTTATATAATTTAATTTGTTGGGGTCAAGGCCCATTTTTAGCTTTGGATGTCCAAAGACATCCAAAGCCATCAAATCCCAACTATAATTGTGATTTGATTTCATTTATGTTTTCTCCAAACAGTTTCATTTTAGATTTCAAATCCCATACCATTTCCATGAGATTTCAAAACCCATATCTTATTAACCCTCCAAAGCTCACCAAACGGACCCTTAATGTATAGCTTTTAAATGCACAAATTATGTTCCTCTGTTTCTCAGAGTCCCAAGAAAAACTTTCTCTACTTTTGAAACGGAGATCCTTTTTTCATGAATTCAGGCTATATTAGCACATCCATAAATGATGGTCCGGGGTGTTTGATGTTGCGGTGCCCTGATCCATCTTGTAGTGCTGCAGTAGGTCAAGATATGGTAAATGCATTTGCCACTCAAGATGATAGAGATAAATACAACCGTTACTTTATTAGGTCATTTATTGAAGACAATAGGAAGGTAATTGCCAAATGATGCTTTTGCCTACTCCTCTTTTCCTATTCAATATGAAACATGATTGAAGCTAGATGCTGAGGCATTCCCACATTATCCCCTTTTATCTTGAACATTCGATCAAGTGTAGACAAAGTGGTGCCCTGCTCCTGGGTGTGACTACGCTGTTGATTTTATTATTGGAAGTGGAAGCTATGATGTCACTTGCTGCTGTTCATACAGTTTTTGTTGGAATGTAAGTTCTACTAATATACATTTTTGGATCTTCATTTTTTTACTTTTTTCTGCTTTTGAAGATTGAGTTATATGTTTTTTCTGCCTGCAGTGTTGTGAAGAAGCTCATCGACCAGTTGATTGTGGCACTGTGGCCAAGTGGATTTTGAAGAACAGTGCTGAATCTGAGAATATGAATTGGTACCATCATATCACCCCAGAACTTATACTTTTGTGGCTTGAAATAATTTAGATGGTATTGGGAATTAGTCGTCGGACGGAGTCTCATAAACTAATGTAACTCTGTTACACATCTAGACCTTTTTCAGCATGCTTTGCTTGTTGGTATCTTTGGTTACATACACCACAACCACTCTTCTGTTATGATTTCTATTAATTAATATTGAATTCTATGCATCTGAGTTTTGTTAGGAGTTGTTTATCATTTGTAGGGTCGAAATGTTATACTCCCTCCGTCCCAGAGTATTTGTCCACTTTCATTTTTACACACCATCCAATACACTTCTTTAATCCATTTTATCTTGTAATTTGTATATTAAAAAATTATAGAAATTATATATTAATAATCTATATGTTAATACAAATCAAACAAGATCACACATGACTATATTTAGGCTTACACATTGAGAGAATTTGATGAGTCAAAGTGCTTAGATGAACGGTTCCAAAAGTCAAAACTGGACGAAACTCCGGGACGGAGGTAGTATGAAACTGAAAACCTTCTTCCAATTGAAAAGACTAATTTAGATTATGTAGTTATTATTTATTACCTTTTTACTTTATTTTTATATGTTTGGCTGTCCGAGCATTGCTAAGTTTTTGTTTGACCCGATTAGTTACGGGGATTGTTTACTCCCAAGAGACTTCCATCTTTTCCGATGGAACCATATATTCACTATTATTTCATTTTGGAGTAAGATGGATTAAAGCAAAATGGCTCTTAAACTAGCTGTGCTTCTTTTGATAGTGGAGTAACAGTTAGTCAATGAAGATCATGGGTCATTTGGAAACAGCTGCTCTATGTTTTAACATAGGAGTCATGCATACATCCTACCCCCCTTACCCTGCAATGGGTGGGAGCCTTTCAGGCACTGGGATAATGTTGTTGTTTGCTCCAAAGAGCATTTCCTAGGCCATATACTAAATCGAACAAGTTTTAAAGGTTAGAGTGACAAAGCCTCTTTTTAAAGAAATTTATACTATGCCAAACAAGAAGTCATCCATATAATCATGTAGCATTATTATAATTTTATTACAATTCTTGGACTCTTTATTTTTTTAACATTCAAGTGGATGTTATTTTATTGAAAGTAGTCATGTCAGGGTTAGGCATATAGGTTTTTGGATTCACTTATAGTTTATGGTTACAGCTTATAAATTATACTAGAAAATTAGAGCATAGCTTGTTTGCTCAGATCCTCAATTCCTATCACATAGCTCAAGCATGAGATGTTAGCCATAGACTCTTTTTGCAGTTTTAGTTACTTTATTTAGGTCTCCCGTGTTTGAGGTGTGCAGCACAAGCATCTTGGTTCAAATAATGATAGGGTCTTGCCTATCACAGGATAACAGGAGCTCAGAAATTAAGCCATCTTTTATGTTTTGTTTTATATTCTGCTAAGCATTGATGAAAGAACTGAAAAATGGATTTCCTTCTGAAATTTGTATGCTTAATTTCTATTTGGTGTTGAAACATTTTGTGTATTTCAGGATTTTAGCCAATTCTAAGCCTTGCCCAAGGTGCAAGCGACCAATAGAAAAAAATCAGGGATGCATGCATATCACTTGCACCCCTCCCTGTAAATTTGAGTTTTGCTGGTAAGTAAATTTATTATGTAATGATCAAATTCCTTTTGTTTGTAGCACATTGTTACTCATTTGATATATTGTCATTATAATGAACTCTATGAATTCATTAAGCTAAAAAGAAAGTTAAATTCGTGTTAAATATTTGCCAAATAAAAATAAATGCATACAATAAAATGGCAAAATTATTTTGGTGCCATCCTTTTCCCTCTTGACCTACTCCCCTGTCCTAAACAAAGGTTCTACATTTCGACATTTCTTTTTTGCTTTGTCCTAAAAAAAATTCCCCTTCTCTTTTAAGTAAACAATCATGTAGTTCGTATTATTTTTTTCTCCTTGCATGAATCTCAACCACACAATTTTGTTTTTTTAAATCTCTGTGCCTAGTCAATTGCAGACCTTTTTTTTTAGACGAAGGGAGTACTTTACAATATTATAATTTATGCATTTTTGAATAAATGCTCATGCAGGCTATGCCTTGGTTCCTGGTCAGAACATGGTGAGAAAACAGGTGGCTTCTATGCATGCAATCGGTATGAAGCAGCAAAACAACAAGGAGCGGTAAGGCTCTAGCTTATGAAGTATGTTCATTAATGTGCATTATCTATTCAAATATTGATATAACAGTTTTTGTATCTTACTGTAGTACGATGACGCTGAAAAAAGAAGAGAGATGGCTAAAAACTCTTTAGAAAGATATACACATTACTATGAAAGATGGGCAACCAACCAATCGGTATGTATAGGTTCTGGATTTTTTTGCTTTTTTTTTCTAATGACATATAAGTTATAACCATATTTATGTGGCACTTACGTTGGAGATGGAATTTGAATTACACTTATGATGTTTGGAAATTCAAAATCTCCCAAAAAATAAATTGATTATTTGCTACATTTATATTCAAATCTTTTAATGTTTGGAAATACCGAAACATGCAATTGATGATTTGCTAGATCTGTGTTCAAATATCAGTGCTACAAAAAAACTCCGTAAGAAGTAAAACTAACGACATGATTATTGGAGATCTAAAATTGTCTTTTTTAATTATTTGCAGTCTAGGCTAAAAGCTCTTGCAGATCTTCAGCAAATGCAAAATGTTCATGTATGAAGAGCTTCTTGCTTTGTGTTGGTGCATGCAATTATACCCATATGAATTGAAGTGCTTCATTTCTCACTTTTGTTTTTGAAGATGCCAACCGAAGTGCTTTGTACTCTCACACACTGTCTTACCTTTCCTAGAGCACTGGAAATACGTTTGAAGCCTGGGCTTCAAACCTTCTCTCTCTGCCACATCAGCTTTAACCCTCTTTTAACTTAACCCATAGTTTCACTAGAAATGGGTTTGAAGCCCCGGGGGGGGGGGATTTGAACTGGGGCTTCAAACCTTTTTTTTTTAATTTTTTATAATACACATTTTGTAAAAGTAAATTAATTAATTGAATTTAAACAACAATGATTTTTTAAACAGAAAAAATTACATTCAATAAAAAAGAACATTATAGTTGAAGTTTTATTTTATTTTATTTATATTTGACAAGGGTCAAATATTGAACCGTTGGGGGGGGGGCAACGGCTAATTTGCATTGCCAGTTGTGTTAAACGTTTGACGCAACCAGCATAGCGCCGGAATATGGGGGAGGGGGGGCGGTGTTTAATGCCATAACGGTGATAAACACCGGCTTGACGCGTTGAGCCCATTTCCGGTGAGTATATCTTAATGCTTAGATGGATGTTCTTCACCTTTACACGTGAGACAAGAAAGGCATCCTTGCATATGTTATTTTGACATTGTTATAAACTTATTTCATAAATACAAACATTTCAAATATATATATATATATATATATATATATATATATATATATATATATATATATANATTGGATATGTTTCATAGTACTTGATGAATTTAACATTTGTTGGTAATTTATGCAGCTTGAGAAGTTGAGTGAGGTACAATGTCAGCCTGAATCACAGTTGAAGTTTATAATAGATGCCTGGCTGCAGGTATGTTACAAATTTGGACTATTAGAAATTTAGAATTGCTTCCAGTTTTACTCCTACATTGGCATTTCATTCGAAGTACCCAAGCTGTAATTTTGGTCACCCTTTTATAAATTTTGTAAAATAGTCCTTCGGTAACGTAACACTCATGGAGGACTAAAACCACTACAAGGAGCATCTCGCTGTAGAGATTTAAAAAGCACGGTATTGGTTCATATATTCCCTTTGCTTCCAAAAAAAAGTCATATTTGAGGTTTCTGCTTTGTCCTACAAAAAGAGTCACTGCATTACAACCCATCTTTTATTTTTAAATGAAACTCTTGTGAAGTCAAGTAGCACTCTCTACTCTCCATGTAGGGGTAAGGTTTGCATACACTTACCCTCTTGGGACCTCTTTTTGTGGGAATTTACTGGGTTGGTTGTTGTTGCAAAGTCAAGTAGCAAGCATTTATAATCAACTAATCCAAACAATCTTAGAAATAAATTTTAGGGGTATAACCTATAAGTGACCATTTATAATTTTTAAAAGTTTGTACCTTGGCGTACACTGCATGTAGGGTTAAGGTTTACGTACACTTCCCCTCTTGGGACCTCACTTTGTGAGATTTTACTGGGTTGGTTGTTGTTGCAAAGTCAAGTGGCAAGCACTTATAATCAACTACTCCAAACAGGCCTAGAAATAAATTTTAGGGGTATAACCTATAAGTGATCATTCATAATTTTTAAAAGTTTGTACCTTGGCGGATTTGACTAAATAAAAAAGTTGTACCTTACTAAAAATGACTTTTTTAACAGAGTTTAAATAATAAAGAATGTTGGCATTTTCTTGTGAAAGGTATGTGTTAATGGAGATTTCTTCATATCTAATTTGCAGATAGTTGAATGTAGACGGGTGCTAAAGTGGACATATGCATATGGATTTTACTTACCCGAGCATGAACGTGCAAAGCGACAGTTCTTTGAGTATCTGCAAGGTATCCTATTTCCCAGTGTATATTTTTTAAGAATTAAGTTATGGTGCTTTAGTGAGGCATTCTATACCTTATAGGTGAAGCGGAGTCAGGCTTAGAACGGCTTCATCAATGTGCTGAAAAGGAACTTCAGGCATATCTTAATGCAGATGGTCCATCAAAAGACTTCAATGAATTCCGCACAAAGCTAGCAGGGTTGACTAGGTAATTTCCAAAATAAGATTTCCCTACCTTCAATATTTGGAGAAATTGGATATTTGCCTCATATCTTTTAGGTGGTACCCAAAAAGGTCATGTTATCTTGGACCATTCTCTTATTTGGCAATTTAATTCATTATATTTTACTCCAATTTGAAGAATTCCGACCCCATGAAATTGATTAAAGAATTCTGACTCCAGGAAATTCAAAATGACACCAAATTTCATCATGCGCGGATAATGTGCTATCTCTTATATAGTTATTTTGGAAATTTTCATAGTTGATTTTTTGTTTATTCTTGAATAAAATACGAAGCACAAAATTACTATACTTAGTTTAAGTGCCCACATAAGCACAATTTTGCTTAAAAAACACCAAAATAGGAAACTCATCCTGATGAAATCTTATGACTTCCACTTATTTGGACCAAAAATTCTCATATTTAGCAATAATAAGCTATGGGAGAAGTATTAGAATGATCCTAGCTATGGGAGAATACAGAGACCAAGTGTGATATTACTGATATACTCTTGATTGATATACTACGTATAAATGAAGAAATTACAATGAATTGTGCCTGATCTGATGATATTTTGATCGCAGCGTGACTCGAAATTACTTTGAGAACCTGGTACGAGCATTGGAGAATGGTCTGTCGGATGTGGGCGCTCCTCGGGTTGGGGGTAGCAGCAGCAGGGCAGCTGGAGTAGGCTCACGGAGCCTGGTGGGGTGCTTGAGCAGCGGCAGCAAGGGCAGAGGAGGGGGCAAGGGCAAGGGCACCACCACCACCACCACCACCACCACGTCTAGATCGAGCAGTTTCAAAACCATAGATGATTCCGGACACTGGTCCTGTCAGTACTGCACCTACGCTAACGTCAAGTCCGCTAATGTTTGCCACATGTGTCAGCAACGCCCTTGAAACTCAGTCAGTCAGCCAGTCTCACACCCTTTCGCGGGGTGATGGGTGATGATGATGATGATGATGGTGTACATAAGCTCTCATGTATGTGTTGTACAATGTGTACTAAACCAGCCAGAAAAGTCTCTTTGTTTTATTGTAATTCTGTTGCCGGCCGTCTGCATGTAAGGGAGGCCGGGAAATAATCTATCATCTGCTTGCTTAAAGCGCTGTTGTATTGTATTTTAACTGTACACTGCTTTTATATATATATAGGAAGATGGATCATTTATTCCCCCCATCACAATGAATAAACCTATATTTTTTAATTTAATAAATATCTTTAGTAGTGTTCGGTTTTGACCATGTTTTAAATTTTATGACAACTTAGATCCCTTTTGGGAAGGCTTAAACTAAAATGGCTCAAACCTTTGAATTTGTTGAAATTCTTGTAGTCATGGACTCATGGTTGAAATGGTTGGTTGATTTGGTTGGAGTATATTTATAAAAAAATTATAAATTATAGTTGCACTTTAAAGTAAGGCCGACTTGTCCATTTTAGTACCAAACTTTAGTCCCAAAATGATAATAGGACTCCACGATGGCAAGCTTCAGAAGATGAATCTTTTTATACTTTTCATGGACTTACAAGTAGCTATTTTTAAAATTTTACAATAAATTCAATTCTTTCCAGGCGTTTATGTACTAAAGTCCATAAAATAAGTATGGATTTTAAGACAACATGAAAATTTGCTTCTTTTGGATTGGATTTGTGTGGTTAAAGCTCTTCGGGAGTTGTTCTCTTTTCTCTTCTATTTTTTGATTGATGATTGTTAGGTTTTGGCATCAGATTTTTGTTTTGTTTTCTTTTATTTTTGTTCAATCTAATAATCTCAACATCTTAAATACAGCGGTGAGACACAAACACCCTTTAGATATCCGAAATTCAGATATTCAAAAATTTTTTGATCAGATATAGAATGTAATTTTACTGTTTTGAAATTTTTGGATTTTCGAAAATTCAGATTGGATAATTTGGTTATTTGATTGAACACACCTAATCGGAGGTACATATATAAAAGTTAAAGAATACGGAGTATTTTTTTGTACCTTTATTTGCTTGCATATATATAGTTAGAGCATGTGCATTATAAAATACGGAATAATGTATGCAATTCTAAAAGTAACACAATTGTTGTTCTTTTGTTAAAAGAAGTTTTTATTTTGTTGCTAATAGCATGTATCGAATTGAAGACTAAAAATATATACTCAGAACTTTAAGTTATAAAATCAATATATGTGTAAAGTTTTAGAATTGAATGACTTGGTTTCATTGATACAATCACCGGTATAAATATTACAAGAGTTACCAAAAATACTTTAGGAAATACAATTCTACAAGGAAACTAATTATAATACATAATATTCACAAAAAATATATTCCAGTACTCCCCCTCAAATTGGAGCACGAAGATCGAGAATGCCCAACTTGGATAACAGCAACCGGAAAAGTGGGCAGGGTACGTGACGAACAAAGCAGATTTATTGTCGCAATACAGTTTCGGAGTGGAGACGAACGACACGGACAGGACGGTTTAATTTGCAATCCATGGATCCATCAAAGTTCAGCACAAGCATTAGCCATAGCATGATATTCGGCTTCAGCCGATGAACGAGCCACGGTGGTTTTTTGAACATAAATGAAAGTAAGACGGCCTCCAACTTCGAGAGTTCTCCCCGCCATAAACGTTATGGCTTGCGTTTGCCTGGCATGCGATGATGTCAACAACATCCTCTTGTCCATCCGCATGTCATCTATTCCCAGAGATCAGATGAGATGTGGGAACAATGGATATAGACTATATAGTAATGGTGAGAGTTAAAAATCGATGTGTCATCTTACTAACATGCATGTGAGAAGAAAAACTCTTTAATGTTGCTGACAATTTAAGTGTACATTCCTCCCAAAAGTATCATCTCAGTTTGAAGAGCGCATAAAATTTCATTTTTCTAAAAATGATTTTAGAAATATTTGCATTAGATATCACTAAAACTTAAGTCATTTCACTAAATAGCACTTAAATTATTTTATTCTCTAAATAACACTTAATTATGGACATTATTAAGTGCTATTTAGGAAATAAAACAGTTAAAGTGCTATTTAGGGAAATGACCTAAGTTTTAGTGCTATTTAGTGCAAATATTTCTTGGGGGAAAACACATGTGATGCTATTTAGAGAAAGTTATTATGTTTTAGTGCTATTTAAGTTAATTACCCTTTATTTTATTTACAAATTAGTTATGGCGAGCTGAGGAGGAAGTATATGCTATAGTTTGCCCTCCAAGAACAAATAGAAGCATGCAGGAGAAACTGAGTTATACTCCGATCCGTCCGTATAAAAATGAAGCTTTGTTTTTAGACTCACTGTAAACCAACCATTTTTTGTGTGGAAGACTACGTACTGCGCATGCATTCGTGAAAGGTCGTCAGTTAGTTAACCTTTATACGTTTCTTTCAATTTCTTTTTTTTTTTTCCTTCTAAAATTAATTGGTCATCAGCATTCAGCTGCTTACATTTAGTGCTAAAGACACCTACCCCTGCACCTAAAACTGTTCGTAATTATTCACACAAATTTGTAGGAGAAAAAAACAGAAGAAAAGAATTGACTTCCACCATTGACTACCCCCTCCAAAAAGAATGAAAAATTAAAAAGAGAAAAAGGGTAATTTTAAAAAAAGTGTAATTAATTGCATAGAGAAATTAAAAGAAAGAAGACTTGACCTGCATGAGCAACTCAACTGGTTCCAGAAGTGGAATTTTAAATAAGAGACCAATGACCGAACCTCACCAGCGGCATTGTGGGAGCAACCTCTCAAAAAAAGAGAGAGATTTCCGTGTGTATCAATCCCAACGATTGAATCACCATGATTTACGTCCTCCTACATAAACGGACAGCGAGGTAAGTTGGTGGGGACAGGAGAGAGTATAGAAGTAGACTAGTAGTAGTACGGGACGCATATATATATATATAAGGAGAGGGACAGAAGGGATGTAATAATAATAAATAATAATGATGATGACCGACGACCCACCTGTCTAAGGATGTGTTCTTTCGATGTGTTGTTTTCTGAACCCCTTTTTATGTATCATCCCCATCCATCTCCTTTGCATTTACTTCTCTCCCTTTTTTTCCTTCCCCCAAACACCAAACTATATAGTGAAGTTTGTACTCCATCCGTCCAGAAAATTCTTTCCACTTTCACTTTTTTTCGGTCAAACAGTGATACATTTTGACTACAAATTGTGAGGTTATGGTTTTGATATATCAAATTTTTATAACTTTTCTTTATTTAGATTATGTTTAATTTATGGTCAAAAAATGTCACAAATTTGACTGAAATAGTCAAAATGGGAAATGCTTTCTGGGACGGATGGAGTACTAAATAGTAGGCTTGGCAAAATTGACCCAGACCCGATAACCCGAATCGAATAACCTGGACCCGAACCCGAATCAACCCGAAATTTGAAGAACTGAAATAGAATCGAACACCCGAAATGATCCAAACCGAACCGAACCGAAACTGAACCGAATGTATTTAGACACAATTCAAATCTGAATCTGATTTGACCCGAACCAAATAAAACTTGAACCGAACCGAACCGATATAAACCCGAACCAATACAAACCCAAACCGATACAAACCCAAACCAATATAAACCCGATGCGATATAAACTTGAACTGATATAAACCCGAACCGAAACCGACTTGAAATCAAAAACTAGTCAAACCGAAATAAATTCGGAGTCGAACTGACCTGAATCAACTCAACCCGAACCGATTATAACATATATTTGAAAGAGACCCGAACCGATTGACCCGATTGTCAGGTCTACTAAATAAGACTAAAACATAAGTCATTATTCTAATATAGAACTTAAACTTTTTTATTCTCTAAATAGTACTTAATAATGTCTAGTAGGAGGAATAATGTTCAGTGATGACAGACATTTACTTGAATAATGACTCATGGATAATGACCAATGATCTTACATTGGGAAATGAAAACATATGGTCCTATATTGAGAAAGTCATTATGTTTTAGTCCTATGTAGATAAATTCCTCAAAATTAAATTGGGAACATCTTTATGGGACGGAAGAAGTACTACCTATAATTAAAGAGGGAAGAATAAATTGAGTTGTAATAGCTAGGTCGGGGAGAATAATAATAATAATAATAATAATAATAATAATAATAATAATAATAATAATAATAATAATAATAATAATAATTTATGCTAGCTACGTACACATGCATTGAAATATAATGGACATGATGATATGATGCAAGTTTGGGGGTAATATTGCAGCATGTATGTAGGAGAAATGGTAGGGGGGGATGAGAAATGAAGAACGTATATAGTATAATAGTAGTACTATAGGATCGGAGTGGTATAAATGCAGATGAGAAACGACGAAGAGAAAGCATATATGGCAGCAGCAGCAGCAGCTACCAATGAAAAGCAGAGATAATATATATGCATAAACATGTCAGCTGCTGGGACATAGTGAAGGAAGGAAGGCCATTCTTTAAAGCCATGCTAAAAGGTCATCATTGCATTTCCACAAGTACATATGTACGTATATTTACTTTCTTCATATACATACTTTGGGTAAATTTCACAAATGATACCTGAACTTTAGCTGGAATTTCGAAGTGGTACCTGAACTTCAAATCCTTTCACAAAAATCCCTGAACTTACACAATCCTTTCACTAATGAGCCATTAGCCCGTTTCTAGGATAACTTTCGGTCATTAGGGCCAAATTCGAATTTTATATATTTTAAAATTTTCAATTTGACCCCATTTCTTCTTTTCTTTTCTTCCACGCCCCGCCGCCGCTCGCCGGTAAAAGTCGCCGGAAAATGAACTTTTTCCGATTCCGGCGGGACCAATGTCATTCTCTTCGTCTTGAGACGAGGATCAATAATATCCAAACCATTTTGTCTAATTTGGCCTGTAACTTCTCGAATCTGAATTTTTCTACTCGAAAAAACCCTAAAATTCGAAATTGGATCCAAAATTGGGGGTTTTGCAAATCTTCATCAAATCTTGCAATTGAGGGGTCCTTG